TCAAGCTTCACACATGGATTCGTTGTGATCGTGTCCTTCTCGTGTTTCTCGCTTCGATTCCGCGGTTTTCGATCGCGAACGATTCGTGGAATGCGATATTGGCCGGCGGCGGATGCATGTTTGACGAGCTCTCGACTCTGTCTCATCTGAAGAAATCAAAAGGGAGCCGAAACCACATCGACCGACCGACAAGAGCAACGACAATGCCTGACCGGACGAAGCGGTCGGCGGGAAAGAACGAGTGAATAGAAATCCGACGAAGTTTAATGTTCCCACGAAGATAGTGAGGTAATATTTCGGAGTTTATCAATCACTTCTGGGCAGCCAGGCAAGCTGGCCGACCGGCCCGTCGACCGGCAGGCAGGCAGGCGAGCAGCGGAATCGCCAGAAACAGAAATGTCGCGATCGGTCGAGACGCGATCGGGCCTGCTACTTGGCATACGGTAGTTATGGAATGGAAGTTCTTTCTTGATCTGTCTTTCTGTCTATCGTCCGTCTTACCACTTGCCTAGCTGCGAGTGAGCGTGTGTGGTCTGTAACGAGCGAAGGGACGAGCGAGAGAACACATCGACCGATGGATCTTTAAGAAGATCGACTGCAGTGTTCATTATGACAGAAAGGATACTTCATCTTCGGATGCCCGATTTCGGAGCATACTGAGTGAATCAAGCTGTCGATGGGCTCGTCGCGAACATGCTGTTGAACCTCTCAGCGTTCCTTCCGACGACAAGAGCCGAAGATCTCGGTAGAGATGGAGTTCGTAGCCGGTGTCTTCGTACTGAAGACTCAAGATCGAGCGAGGGAAACAATCCTCCCTCTGATGGTCCACATCGGAGGTATCCGTGACGTCACTATCGAGTTGGGCGGCAGAAAGATGAAAACGGGCAAACAAACGTGGAGTCCCGACTTCGTCAACGGGGCGTAGGGGTCTTCTGTGGCTCGGCAAACAAGATGCTTTCTGTTGATTTTACACTTTTTCGAGTCGAGAATCGGGCGACATGGTCTTCACATCTGTCGAACTCTTAGCGAAACAGCGCTGAGAAATTGAAACAAAGGTTCGACTCTCTCCTCGAAGCGAATGCCCGGAGCGAAAGCAAACATTGTTCGAAGAGATTTCGAGCTACCACTGTGTCGCATCGTGCCGACACCGCAACGTCTTGCGACAATTAGCGCTCAAATTAGACGTGTCACAAGTGAATCCAATTCATTACCATCCAATTGTGGGCGCTACTCAAACACGCATTCAATAGCCACAATCATCTCAAATCGCCACGCGAGGCTCTTGTCATAGTTCAGTTGAGTCTTATCGGATTCCGGAAGAGACCAATCATATCATTCAATTGACGCGTTCTGCCTGTGTATGTTTGGAGGTTATTTTCCTAAGACAGCCGCTCATCAATGCAAAGTCCCGTCTGAGCGCCGAAAACCCCGTTCGAATGAAAGTTTATGATGGGAGGCAGGGCACCTAAGGTGCCACGCCGCGTCGGGCGTCGAAGCGTTTTGCCAACGAGCATCGCGCTTGAGCTGTGTGCTTCTCATCGGCTTTCTGTCAGTCACTCGATTTCGGTTGGTTTTATTATCATAATCCCCAAAGGCTTCATAGCTCCTCGAACACTTGTCCTAAATAACGAAGAGAGAGCCTCGGCGAACGATTTGGAGACGTCAAACCTCTTGAAGTGCTCGTCATCGGCATTCCCACGATTCTGATCGTTGCTGTAAGAAAAACAAGACAATTGAACGTATTACCGCTCGCCGCTGTCTCAACTCGTGAGACAGCCGCCCGCATCCCGTTTACATACAATGTGTTTTCAGGAGTCTAACGACAGAACAGGAGCCGTTCTGTAATCAGTGTCTGACTTCTCTATTCTTCTTTTCGAAGGCCCTATCCTATCGAGCCGGAGAAAGAGAAGAACCGTCGAATTTCTGAGATGCCTGCCATGAAGATGAATGCATATATTTCGGTACTCATGCTTTTGAGGGCAAAGATTTCGCTCCAGAGGCTAAGCTGTCGCGGGTCTAACAGTCCTCTTTCTACGGGGCCGACAAGAAAGTTCAGTCCGTGATGGTGTTTGATGTCACGTCGCTCGCGCAGGAAGTTCAATCGCGAACCTTGGAAGTTAAGGCGAACCTTCCATCCCTTGGCTCGAGAAACTCGATGTTTGATTTCATCTTCAACAATGATCCCCCATAGAACTTTGAGCATGAGCTCGACAAATAAAAACGGTCGATAACACGGCCGTGGTCGGGACTGGAAGCCGCCTGAACGGTCATATGTATGATTTATCTGTCATCGATAAGATTCAGCTCTCCCTTCAAGCCGAAGAGAACATGAGGAGGAAGAGAAGGCAACAAGTTTCGTCGATCCGACGTCTCCCTTGCAAAGTCTCAACTTCTGCGACGTCGGTAGCTTAAATCTATCATCTCGCCGTGGTTGTTTCCAGCAAATGATGTTGCTTGTGTGATAATAGTAATCTGGTGTAATGACGAAAACGATGATGATGATATTGATGTGCGATAAGGCCGTCGTGAAGGGAGGAAAACCTCCTGTCTCAGATTTCCTCGTTCTTGTCCGGTCTGTGTGATGCAGTGGTCGATTGTGAGCGGGGAGCGACAGAAAATTTTACAGCACTTTTATCGCGGAGACATATCTCGGAATCCGGATGGAACCACTGCTGGTCACTGTCTCCCTTGGGCGTCCGTTTACCGTGTCCTGCGCAGAGACGACGAAATTCTAGCCGCTCTTCTGTCTGCGTCGTTCCGTGCCGGGTATTACCGGAAACCTCAGACAGAGCCTCTCGCAGTTATGGCGATTGAAGAGATTAAGTTCGAGTTCGGTCCGATTGTCACGCATCGATTTCCGAGCGGCGCTCCATAGCCATCTTTGCATGAGACGAGAGAAAAGCAATAAACAACAGCATATGAGTCCTTGCCGAAGGCTTGAAATGCGGCTAGAACTATCGTGCTTTCAGTTATTCAATTAATATATTAGTCGATTATTCTCTCTCGGCCTTTGCGGACGGATACGATGACAAAGACTCTCGGCGGTCACAATTCCGAATGAGCGGGAAGTATTATTTTTGTTTTGATTACGGAAGGTTCTTGTTTGCTGTCGCCGTCCCGGACGACGGTACATGACCGACAGAAATCGGGGAATGCGATGTGAACTCGCTGAACGCCAAAGAAAATAACGCTGGACTCCTCGACATATCGATGCTCCGCCGATGGTTTTCGCTGTCGCCGAATCTCGTTAATTACACGGGTAGGCTGAAATCGTATAATCGTTCCTTCACTGATGAGGACGAAAGAAAACTCCGACTCGCATTGGGATAATCGTGATGAAGGATTGAATTAGGAACGGGTACACAACATTCGCCTCCGTAGGAAGTTCGATAGATGTCCTGCCGACCACTCTCACGGTATTCTGAGCTTCGCGCAATCGGCGGGACCTATGTATCTGATCGAGTGAACTGAGAATCCCACCTTTGGAGCGACGCGTGAGACGGGCAGCGCGAATTATACGCCTGCGACAAGTGAAGTCTCATAGATGCCTTCGCTAGCATCTGAGAGGTACACGTGAGGAGTCTCTGGGAAAGTCTCAGGAAGAGTCAAGAGAAATCTGACGATGTCGATGATGCAGTCGATGAGTGGTTTGTGGGCGGCCGTTGTGAGAACCGCGCCGCTTGTTGTCGCTCCTGAAGAAAATCACTCAATGCTTCGGCCATGCATTCGGAGATCTTTAGCGCCGGTGTGTGCTTTCATTTTTGCTTGCGTTCGGCCGTTATGCCATTGTGTGAGGAAGAGTTCGTTGGGGAGAAAAAACGAAGAACTCTGCCTCTGAAAACACAAGGAAACACGAGAGGGGCCGAAGTCACGACTTCGCCACTGTTCTGTAGGGCGACCAGCGGTTCCTCCATTATTGCTCCAACAGTAGCCATCGGCTCCACTTAATTGAGTTCACATGAGCCTCGATCATCCAATTTTTGTGATCCTCGAGGCGAGGCTGCTCGAACTCGGATGGATCCCTTTCCAATTTCTATCGATGTATTTCAATGAGCCGAAAATCCATTTTCGGCGGTTCACGGAATGGTTCTTTGTTTCGAACGCCACCTGACGCGGGCACCGGAGAAAGCGTTATCGAGGCGACTGGATGCTCACTCTATGGATATTCCGTTTTGTCTTCTTTCTTTTTCCTCTTCGCGGTTCTTCCCTACGGAGTTTCCAAGCTGATTTTACCGTTCGAGTAGGATAGATTTATTGCCCACCGGGGTTGCCTTTGATGTTGGCGATTCGAAGATTGCAAATCAGACGAAGCGCCAAGATCGAGCAGCCAGAACGAAAAAAGTTCACGCTGCTCTTCGCATTCCTCCGTCTCTGTCGACTCTTTTCCCTTGATAACGAGCCACAGTACTTTCTGGAGTCGCGCGCCCCGCGCTCCGTAATTTCTGCGAGACCGGATGATCAAGTCGGGTCACTGCTGGAAATCGAGCGATTCCGTTCCGGAGGTTCTCTGAGAGATTGAACAACCAACTGAGTCTGGTAGAACGAGGGCTGGAGGGCCAAGACCGATCGGAAATGCTCCGATCCATACACCGGCCGGTGTTTCCTCGCACAATTCATTCTGTGGCGATATCGCCTTCCATCTCGTACTCTACAGCATCCTTTCGTGGAATCGGTTCCGTGTGATTTCGTCAGTTTGAAAGAACGAAAGCACAAGGGGAACGCGAGTGGGCTAGAGATGGAGCTGATTAGCAAGAGGAACAAAACATCGAAACGTACTCTGTTGTGCTTCGTATTCTGCCTAGGTCTGAATCAGCGGTAAATCCTTTTGGTTTTCTTTGCCTTCCCAGAGATCTGCGACGTCGAGCGTTTCACTCCCGATCGATCGCCATTCTCACGCACGGTCTCGTTTCCGGGAACCACGATTTCCGACCACCAGTTCTTATCGATGCGCACAGCGATACTCGACGCAAGCATTTACGCCCTCTCTTATCTCCTTCCAGATGTCTACCCTCCTTTGCCGGAGAATACTGCCAGCATCAGAACCCGTGCACCGCGCAAGGCAATCCGTGCCGTCACGGGGCATCATGCGAGCCCCACGTCTCCGTGAACGGCATCGACTACACTTGTCATTGCCCCATCGGATACAGCGGTTCGCTGTGCGAGCATCGGCAGCCCTCGATTTGTGACCACAACCCCTGCGAGAACGGGGCGGAATGTCAACTCTTATCCCTCAACGACTACGTCTGCAAGTGCGCTCCGGGTTTCCGCGGCTCACACTGCGAGAAACGTGACAACTGCGCGAACTCTCCGTGCAAGCACAGCGTGTCGTGCATTTCGACGGACTCGGGCTTCGAGTGCATCTGCAACGAAGGCTACGAAGGCGTCAAATGCGAATACGACATCGACGAGTGCGAACGGAATCCGTGCGTGCACGGCGGCCGCTGCACCAACCACATGGGCGGCTACACGTGCCAGTGCAAGCCCGGCTACACCGGAAAGAACTGCGAGAAGGAGTTCGTACCGTGCAAACCGAGCTCGTGCCTGCACGACGGCATCTGCGCCCCGGTCGGCAAGCACGATTACAACTGTACGTGCCCGAAGGGTTTCAAGGGCAAAGACTGCGAGATAAACATCGACGACTGTATCGGGAGCCTCTGCGCTAACGGGTCAACGTGCATCGACGGAATCAACGGTTACACGTGCGCTTGTCCACCGACGATGACCGGCGACTACTGTACGATCGATATCGACGAGTGCGCCGCCAATCCCGGCATCTGCAAGAACGGTGCCACCTGCACGAACACCCTCAACGGTTTCACGTGCGCCTGCGTCAACGGATGGACGGGAGCGGACTGCTCGGAGAACATCGACGATTGCGCTGGAGCGAACTGCCATAATGGGGCGACTTGCGTCGATCGCGTGGGCCGTTACGATTGTAAATGCCCACCGGGGAAAATCGGTCTCTTATGCCATATCGACGACGCCTGTCTTTCGAACCCCTGCCACGCAGGAGCCATCTGCGATACGAGCCCAGTCGACGGCAGATACACTTGCTCGTGCAAGGACGGCTGGACGGGTCTCGATTGCTCCGAAGATCTGAACGAGTGCTCCGGGAACGTCAACCCGTGCGAGCACGGTGGACTCTGCGTCAACACGCCTGGGTACTTCGCGTGCAACTGCACGCTGGGATTCACCGGTCCTCGATGCGAGGTCAACATCAACGAATGCGAACCGAACCCCTGCAGGAACGACGGGACGTGTCTGGATGAGACAGGAGCGTATCGTTGCATCTGCATGCCTGGTAAGTGACTTCTTGGTTTGATTCTTCTCTCGAGTGATTTCCGCGATGAGTCTCTTCTCCGCGACCCGGCCCACGCAGGAAGACTGTGGGATCGATGATGCGCGAGATTGAGATTCGATGGATAGGTAGCGAGCGCGTTAAGGGATGCGTGAACGCGTCGGTCTCGTTGACGATACGTTGTGGCTTGTCGTCCGAGGACGGCAGACGGCAAGAGCGAAAATGGAATTTCCTTCATCGACCGGGAGAAATTCCAATCAGAATGAAGAAAAGCGAGGAACATCTGGCGTTCGGCGAAGGTGCGAAGATAAACGAAGTCGAAGGTAGAATCCCTCCGTCAGCTTTCCTCCTCGGCGGTTTGCCGTTCAGCCCACGGACGTACAAACGAACCGACCGAGCAGGCGAGCCAGCGACAGTTAGGCGGGCAGAAAGCCTGCCTGGATGACTCGCTCCGGTCGTCGAAGTGGTTGGCGGCCGTTGGAATAGCCTTCGTCTGCTTGGTCCGACCCAGATCGACCGAGCTCATCGGCGGCGACTTCTGCGACAGGGACTCAGTGGCGAACAATCGCCGACTCATCTTCCATTGGTTGTTGTCGTCGTCGTCACCGGCGCGGACGGCGTTGTAGTTGTTATGTAAATGCAATGAGTGGACTGTCGGCCGAGTCTACCGAATAGAGAACACCGAAAAGAATAGACGCGTCCGGCAAGTGGGTGACTTTCCCACGCGGTTGAAGACTTTCCAGGTCTACTTTTCGAAATGGCTTCTGAACGAGTCTCTCTCGCACAAATTACACCACCTTCGGTCGTCTGTTGTTGCGGTCGTCGTCACCGTGTCCGGTCGTCGTCGTTGAGTCTTCCCCTCCTGTTCCCGCTAGCTGATATCGTTTCGAAGGCGAGAAAAGCATGTTGTACACGGGGCTTTTTGCAACGATCATCGTGGGTTCGTGTATGAGGGCTTCGGCATGAAGGTCCGATCATCTCACCGAGGTGAGAAGCAATTGAATCAGTGACGGCCGTTCAATCAAGACGAATTCGAATGTGTCCGCCGACAGCGCAGTCGTCGACGACCACAACGACGGCAACAACGACTTCGACCGCGAACGAGTCCGATCCTATTTCGACAGGGCGTGTTCTGACGATCGGCAGTGTCCGATGCATTTGTCATCGGAGGCAGACCATCCGTCAAACGGATCGTTGTTGTAATGCGGTATCTCTCTTGCTCGCTCGAGCTGTACATCCCCCTAGATGTTCGATCGCTGCCGCCGCCACCACCACCGACTTCGTCGCAGTAGTATTCTACCGTTGTCATTATCGATGGGTCCGAGGAGCTTCCATTTCGATTCCATGGTGCCGAAAAGCACGAATCACTTTCGGGCATCTCTTCCAGCGGCGATCGCCACACCGCCTCGTTCAGATCGACGACGACGAAATCTCATTTCGAGTTTTGTCAAATTTGATGAATGGTACTGTCGAAGCCGAATTTTTCTTGGTGCTGTTCCCTTCGGCACCGCCGCCACCGTCGGCGATGTCGTGCCGTAGGGATCGTGCTGAATTGGCTTGTCGATCGATCTGACTTCATACCTCCAATACTTTGAGCGGCACAAATTGTCTGGATCATTCCTCAAGATTCAAAACGATATTCATATGCGTGTTTGCGCGCCTACAGCTGTCATAAACGGCGTCGATATTACCGCTGTCTCCAGCTTATCTGAGGAGTCGACTTTAGGCGTGGACAGCCTAGCGAATTGATAGCTGACGATTGCACGGGCCCGCAGGCGCTCCGAAGGGTTAGATTTGTAGGGAGGAATGCGATGTCATTTCAAGCGCACTCCCGTGAAGATTCTTGAGTTCCCTTCTCTCCCACTAGGGCTCGATCCCCAGCGTCGGTGACTTTCGTGGCGATTGTGCAGAATGTAAATTTGTTCGGACTGACTGAGCTTCTTTACGACGAAGCGCTACGCGGCTTCGAAGTGGTCGTAGACAGGGCGTCGAGCAATAATACGAGGCGCTTTACGCGCAACAGGTTCCAGCCGATTTTTGGATTCTCTGTTCTGTTCGCCTCGAATTTAGTGTTTGATCAATAGCTCGCCGTGCTTTTAGATTCGAGAATCGCGATAAGGTAACTGATCGGTGGGGGCATCAATTCCCTGGGGGCTCTACCCGCCTCCAGGTCGCGATACCGGAGACAAAGCGGGACAGAAAGTTTGCGTCATTCCTGAAAAGGACTTGATATCGCGGCTACACAGACTACCGGTATCTTCCGAGAGTGATACGGCACCGGCATAAGTGACACTCCGTGCGGTGTCGCGAACTGGGTTCCGAAGAATGTGAAGGAGCAGCGACCTGGGTTTGATTTTGTGCAACAAGAGATCTTCTTGTCGATGTCTTTGTTGTTTTGATTGGCGGGGTTGTACAGTTCGTGGTCCTTTCGCTGCCGCATGGCGCTTCCAACGACGGCGGGGCCGAGCGAATCATCGACTGACCGACCGGCCAGTCGCTCGCTTGCTCGCTCGCTCGATCGGCGGTACTCGTGCTGCTACGAGTACTTTAGTCGTCCAACAACGAGAAAAAGGCAGCGGCGCCGCGTTTTGTCGGCGTACCCTCTTCAAAGCAACGCTTCGCCATGGTTGACGCTGCCGCAGCAGACAGAGAAAGAGGGTTCTGTGGGAAAAAGTGGGAGAGAGTAAGGCCGCTGGCTGAAGATGTGACACACGTTCTTGGTGCCGTTCTCCGGCGTTCCAGACATGATTATGCTATTCGAAGCTCGTTCGCCTGTTCACTCGAACTGGAACCGAGTCGATTCCGCGGGACGGCGCACGAACACGTACGCTGCAAAAATTAAATAGCATTTATCCAATCCATCGCTCTACCGGAGTCGGTGTTGCGTCGACCGCACAGAACAGACCGCTCGTTCTGAAGAAACCGCTGTCTGAGTTCTACAATGCCGAAGGGCGATGTCAGTCGAGGTGATGAGGTGAGTTGCGCTCCTCCCTCGCATCATCTCAAGTCGACCGCACCTTTAATCGCGAAATTCTTCAAAATGCCGCATCGACACCATCACTACCGATTGTGGTCGCTTGACGTCTCCGCTGCTCGATTCTCCTGACTCGCATCGACGACAACGACTGTGGTTGCTCCTGTTTTCTATTTCGTCTTGATTTGTCTCGAGTACATTTCTTCTTTTCAATTTTTGTTGTCTGCGTTTCGGGCTTATGTCGATACCACGGCCTGAGGTGGACGTTCAGCACAGTACTGTGCTTTCATGCTGATAACGTTCAATGACACGCGGTTTCCCGAAGTCTCTGTCTTCCGCCGCCGCGGACTAAACTCAAGGTCTCACCAGACGACGAACACGAGAAAAGAAAAGATAAATAAAAGCAATCGCGATTCGCTTTCTGCCTGAATTTGTGAATCAAGGGAGCTCGTTGATACCGACGGGAATCGGCCATCGTGCGATCGTTCTATGTACCGAGAAGACGGTACCGAGCACGATGCGTGCCAGCTATCTCCGGACGAGACTTGAATCCCCTGGTTCGTGAGCGCACTACAAACCCGGAAGCTAGGCGGGAAGCACTGCTTTTTGCTCCCATGTGTTTCGAGACATGTGCAGATGTGAGTAGATTGGCTGACTGGGCTTTCCTGCGTGGCTGTGTGCGAAAGCACACTATAACCACCGACTTCTCTCGTCCTTCTCTCGGCCGCTCTTGGTTCTGGTACACCAGCAGCATCCGAAGAGAAAGGATCCACGGAGAAGAAGATCCGGAGGAGGGCCTCTATTCGCACGGGGGTTCGACTGTGAGTTCCTCTGTGAGAAAAAGACTCCCGTCATGGGAAACTACGATGAACTTTTTACCTAGCGTCTACTTATGACGACTCTGCCGCAGAGCGATGTGGAGTGCTCACCTTGGGAACGTTCACTTTCGCTTGACCAGAAGTCGACCGAACGGGCTCACAGTTTCGAACTCGGCCTTCTTTTTATAGGGCAATTTTTTTCTTGATAAATCCGTGTGGGATTTCCCCCGCACGGGTAAGGAGTCTCTGATCCTCGAAAATTCGTAAGCCCTCGTGCTAAGCTCGCGGGCGCAAGAGCGGAACAAGTGTCTGTCTCGGATTCCATGGACTTATACACCGCTCTCTTTTCCGGGAAATCTAGGGTGTTCGCTGCTCGACTTTTCCTCCCAGACCGAATGGATCAGGGAGAAGAGAACCTGTGCCGGCCCGACTATGAGCTAGAGGGGTATGAGGTCATAAATAGAGCTCTCGTTCCAACGGTTTCCTGTTTCCACATGGATATCGTTGTCGTCGTCGTCGCTGCCGCCACCGGCCGCAGCAGTCTCTGAAGGATCTCTGCTTTCGGAGATGATCTTGGCGGTGGTGGTTGTTGTGCTGGGGGAAGGAGACAGCAGTGAATGAGACAAGCGTGAGAATGCAGCCGTTCTCAGCGGATCCTCTGTTTATTTTGCCTACAAAAATAGCGTAGGAACATGTAACAAAAGACCACTAGAAAGAACAGCCGCGAAACGTCATCGCTTGATTTTATCGGGAACGACTCTCTCCCCCATAAACACCGGATTAATTTCCGCATACTGAAAATTTAGAGAATTCCAGTCGGTGGAAATAAGGCTGCCCCGGAGAACGAAGTGACGGGAATCGGATAAACAGAACGATCTTGGCTCCATATCATGGAATTTTCTTCCTCGAACGGAATGACTGTGACGCGATTCGGACTTTCAGCTCAGCGGCTCAGAGAGTTATGCATGAGTGACGGCTTCAGATGACCACACCGCTCATGCGCGCCCAGCTTTCGGAGAATTTAGAAAATCGTCCCGAGATCGACGGACCATGTACGATTAAGAAAAATGGAAACCGTGCTGATCCGTTCGCCGTCCCGAGCACTTCGGTGTGTTTCGAGTGTTTCTCAGAAGGCGCTGTCTCGACCGGAATGAGCTTTCACGCTCCTCATTCCGTCAATAATTCCCACCGAGTGAGCTTAGCCTCATGCAAGTGCTGAAATCTCCAATGACCTGTCGATCTCGGAGCGGATTTCACGCATCCGGTGACATTGATATCTAGCGTGCCTAAATACGAGACGAGATCATGACTTCACGTTCGAGAACGAAAAGTCACTTTGTTCTAAGAACGGTCAGAAATGCTTGAATCATACATCTGTCGACGAAAGCGATCATGCGGTGAAAATCGTCCTCGCCTGACCCAGAGTATGGGTTCGAACAGCATCGTTTGGCGCTTTCCTTCCATCTTTCGAGATATGGACAGGCAGATAAGTAGACCCAACCGGCAACCTCTAGTGCTCCAGCGAGAGCCGCACCTCTTCCGCTTTTGATGGTGCTGTCGATGATCTTCGATTACTCACTCGATCGACAAACAGTGTCTGGATATACATGTCTGCGCTCGAGAGCTCAAGTGGTCGGTGACTCGGGGATATTCTGCTGAACGCGATGCCGGTTCGCTAGTTCGAAGCGTTCCAACGTTTACCCCGATCTCGATGTGAGCCCGTGGTCACCTGAGCTATGGGGGAGGGAATCAACATGGAAACGCCGTGATTTGGCTCCTAGGTTTCGCCTGTTAATGGAACGCGTCCCGTCCAAGACACGCAGACGAATCACACCCCTCAAAGCACGCACATAGCCTTAAGAGGCCGTGGACTGTCGGTTTATCACGTTCGTCGGAGAAGCTCACGGGAACGAGAGCGGCATCACTTGCTTGGTAGAAGACAACTATTCGGCGTTTTCTCCTTTTCTAAGAAAAGGCTGAAGCATTTTTTCTGGTCGACTAGACAGATACAAATTGCCGGTGGTGCCTATAGACTCGAAAGCGTCGCCCAACAGCTCGTTCTGGCGATAACCTACTAGATTATTGGGGTACCTATGAACAACAGTTATTCACAGACGGACGCTCGTACAGACATGCGGGAGCCATCCGAAACACTTGGTTCAGTGTGGATGGGGGTCGCGCGTTTGTCCGAGTATCGAACTTGGCTTTTCGAGCAAAGTTCAAACCATAAAACGCTCTACGCTCTTCGTAGGCATGTCCGCAAGTCGAGTCATACGGAAGGCAGCGTAATTCTATCCTCCGCAGACTCATCGAAATATTCGAAAAAAATTATTTGTGCCCCGCAGAACCGGCCAGTATACGTAAGGCGCCGTAGTGCACGACAGCCGTTTTTCAACAATTATTCTACGCTTACGACTTTCGATTTTTTTTTCTAATACGAGGCTTTCGAAATTCTCCCCGGAGTCAATCGACCGTCGATTCGCGTGCAGCTTCACAACGCTTAGGTACTGAAGTATGGGAGTGATCAAGCGTCGGTCTTTTTCGTTTTGCTCTTATGCTTCTGTTGAACACCCTGAAGCGAGAGATGTACATGATCGATAGGCGCATGCCGGCTACAATTACCGAAATGTTGACTCAACCCTGTAATCGACTGTCATTAGTTTCGAGAGACCGGGACCAAGCATTTTTCAAAAGAGAAAAAAATAGGCTGAGCGACGACGACATTCGTTTTACTGAATATCTCGATATTCATTCCGCGGTGATCCCGAAGCCTGGCTCTTTTAATAGACAGGAGTAACGATTGATGGATTCGACGCATCCGTCAATCCTCGGGTCAAATGGAAGCCTTCGGTCGCGAGAGTCGTAGCGAAATTCTACCGGACATCGACTGTGTGCGCTCGCTTGGAGTCAGGGATTCCATCGCCGACTCGCTACAACTAAACGTTTTCCTTTACCCTTCCAGGTTTCCATGGAATTCACTGCGAGAACGACATCGATGAGTGCGCCTCGAACCCATGCGGCCAAGGCTATTGCCTGGATCAGGTCAACGGATACCGATGCACGTGTCCCATAGGCTTCACAGGAGCCAACTGTGAGATCAACGTCGACGACTGCGTGGACAACCCTTGCCAGAACGGCGGTCATTGCTACGATCTCGTGGGAGGCTTCGTTTGCAACTGCAAAAACGGTTTCAGTGGAAAATATTGCGAGGTCAATATCGACGACTGCCGAAGCAACCCCTGTCTGAACGGAACCTGTGTCGATGGCGTGGGAACTTTCCACTGCAACTGCAAACCGGGCTATACGGGGACTCTGTGCCAAACACAAATCAACGAGTGTCTTATCGAGCCCTGCAAGCACGGCGGGATATGCACGGACTTCGAGAGTGGGTACAAATGTCACTGCAAAGAAGGAACGACGGGCAAAAATTGTGAGCACAACATCAACGAATGCTTGTCCAACCCCTGTCGACACGGGGCCACCTGCATCGACGGCATAAACGAGTACACCTGCAAATGCAAGCCTGGATACACCGGAGTGAACTGCGAAATCGACATAAACGAGTGCTCGCCAAACCCATGCGAGAACAACGCTCGCTGCGTCGACCTCGTCAACAACTTCCAGTGCATTTGCCCCAGGGGCTACTACGGAACGAGATGCAACTCCGACGTCGACGAGTGCGCTTCCAGTCCATGTCATAACGGTGGAACGTGCGAAGACGACCTCAACAAATACAAATGTCACTGCCCGGCCGGATTCACGGGCCATCGCTGTGAGAGCGAGATCGACGAATGCAAATCGAACCCTTGCCAGCACGGAGGCGTCTGTCAGGACAAATTGGCTAATTATACCTGCACGTGTGCTCGCGGTTTCACCGGAGCTAACTGCGAGATTAACATCGACGATTGCGCCAGTGCTCCATGCAACAATGGCGGATCTTGTATTGATCTCGTCGACGGCTACCAATGTGTCTGCGACGTTCCCTTCTCCGGACCCACCTGCGACGTTCGTCTTGATCCGTGCGGTGCCAAGAGGTGCAAGAACGGCGCCATCTGCTCGCCCAGCTCCAACTACATGGATTTCTCGTGCAGCTGCAAACTTGGCTTCACGGGACGTCTCTGCGACCAGGACATAAACGAGTGCGCCGTGAGCAATCCCTGCCGCAACGGCGCCACCTGCCACAACACCTTCGGTTCGTACACCTGCAACTGCACCAAGGGCTACGAGGGCAAGGACTGTCTGATCAACACGGACGACTGCGCCAGCTTCCCGTGCAAGAACGGCGGCACCTGCCTCGACGAGGTCGGCGACTACCAGTGTTTGTGCGTCGACGGTTTCGGTGGGAAGCACTGCGAGATCGACACCGACGAATGCTCCAGCAAACCTTGCCAGAACGGAGCCACCTGCAACGACTACGTCAATTCTTACACCTGCACTTGCCCGTTGGGTTTCTCAGGCGCCACCTGCGAGACCAACGACGACGACTGCACAGGAAGTTCCTGCATGAATGGAGGCACCTGCGTTGACGGCATCAACTCATACTTATGCAGATGCCCGGCAGGCTACACTGGCACCAATTGCCAGTTTCGCATCAACGAGTGTGACTCTGGACCATGCAGAAACGGAGGCACCTGCATCGACGACAACGGATTCTATGACTGCAAATGTCTCCCTGGTTACACCGGCAGAAACTGCGAAAAGTATGTCGACTGGTGTGAGCAGAGCCCATGCGAGAATGGATCCACATGCAAACAACTCAACAACACCTACACCTGCACCTGCCTGCCCGGCTGGGCGGGCAAAAACTGCGACGTACAGATGGTGTCGTGCGCCGTTGCTGCCACCCGCAAAAAGGTGAAAATCAACGATCTCTGCCAACATGGCGGCGTGTGCGAGGACTATCACAACAGCCATCGGTGCATCTGCCCGAAAGGATACGGAGGGAGCTATTGCCAGGAGAACATCGACGAATGCGCTCCCCAGCCGTGCCAGAACGGCGGACTCTGTCACGATCTGCTCGGTAGCTACCGCTGCGAGTGTCCCGCGGGTTTCCAAGGTCAGAACTGCGAATACAACATCGACGACTGCCATCCGAAGCCTTGTCAGAACGGGGGCACCTGCTTCGATCTGGTCAACGCGTACAGATGTATCTGTCCTCCCGGGACGAACGGCATCCTCTGCGAGTTCAATCTCAACGACTGTACCGAGTCGTCTTGCCATCACGGCGGCACATGCGTCGACAAGATCAACGGTTTCGAATGCGAATGTCCGCCTGGATACGTCGGCTCCCGCTGCGAAGGCGACATTAACGAATGCCTGTCGAACCCGTGCAGCGCGGTCGGAACCCAGGACTGCGTGCAGTTGGTCAACGACTACCGTTGCGACTGTAAACCCGGTTTCGCCGGGCGGCATTGCGACGCGAAAGTCGAGTTCTGCCCACCGAGCACCTGCCTGAACGGAGGCTTCTGCATTCCGACCGAGCACGGCCACAACTGCATGTGTCCCGAAGGCTTCAGTGGGGACCGATGCCAATTCAACAACTCGACCTCGTGCTATCCTGGATTGTGCAAGAACAACGGTCGTTGCAATCCGACGGCGGACGGCTACGAGTGCGTTTGCCCCCAAGGAATCCGAGGGAAGCATTGCGATTACGACGCGTACAACGAGTGCCTCTCGGCTCCCTGCAGGAACAACGGTCTCTGCGTCGACAAACTCGGCACCTATGAATGTTTCTGCCCGAGGAAATTCAAAGGTCGCCAGTGTGAGATCTACGACGTCAATCATCCCGGGAGCTCAGGCCAACCATTCAACGAATTCGATACGCTGGGAAGCTCGGCGGCCGAACTTGAGGAAATTCGCGCTTGCGTCTACAACAACTGTCCCAAGAAAGCAAAAGACGGAGTCTGCAACACGGAATGCAACATGCCGGCCTGCGGTTTCGACGGCGGAGATTGCTCGCTGGGTTTGAAACCCTGGGAGAACTGCACCGCTCCGATCAAATGCTGGGAGGTGTTCGGAGACAACATCTGCAACGAGGACTGTAACACCGTCGAATGCCTCTTCGACGGCTTCGATTGTATGCGGAAACAGAAACAGTGTCGACCCGACTACGATCAGTATTGTTTGCTAAATTACGGCAACGGTTACTGCGACATCGGTTGCAATACCAAAGAGTGCAACTGGGACGGATTGGATTGCGAAGAAGGGGATCCGTTTATCGCCGACGGCGAGATCATCATGACGCTGAGGGAATCTCCCGAAGACTTTGTGAACCGGAGCGCGTATTTCGTGCGATCTCTGAGTAAGAAGCTCCAAACGAATCTCCGCATCAAGAAGGATAATCACAACCAGGACATGATCTATCCTTGGGTGGTGAACAACGACGACTCATCCGACACACCCAGGATCGGTCGGATCGAAATAGGGTGGGTAGAGGATCGAAACTATTCACTTCGTATACTCAAACCATAGCTCTCCAGAAATAGTTCATAATACATTACATGATAATTAATAACTATTATTGAAAGAATTCATTGCTCCCGTGCTCCGCGAGAAAGGCCCATTCCCCACATAAGTCGATCGATTTATTTCAGAACCACCGTCCATCTCGAGATCGACAACCGGCAGTGCGTGAAGGCCAACAACGGCGAATGCTTCCTGACGGCCTCGAAAGCGGCCGAGTTCATATCCGCAGCCCATTCGAAACAAGCTCTCGACATCAATGGTTTCACGATCGAAAGTCTTCGAACCTCCGATATCCAAGCCGGCGACTCAAACACCGGCTCGAGTTTCGCTCTTACGCTCACCGGACTGATCGGAGTCGCTCTTCTCGGTACCCTCATGGGCGTAATGGTGGCGGGTCAAAGGAAACGCGCTCGAGGCATCACCTGGTTCCCTGAGGGCTTCTTCCCAATGCGGTCCGGAACCGGCCCACCGAGACGTCGTCCTGACGGGCAGGAGATGCACAGTATCTCTAAACTGTCCGCTCAACGATTGGATGCCAACGATAATCACGGAATGTCGGAATGGTCGGATGACGAGCTTCAGAACCCTCCATCGAAACGCATGAGACCCCATTCCAGTACACCCGAATCATCGTACGGCGACACCCACACCGTGATGTCCTCGGCTGATTACGACGATACCGATCCCCGTACGTGGACTCAGCGGCATCTGAACGCCGCCGACGTTCGTAATCCGGACATCGTAGCCATGACTCCGCCTCAGAACAATTACGACTACGAGACGCACATCGATGTGGACGTTCGGGGTCCCGGAGGGCTCACGCCTCTCATGTGCGCCGCTATCCGCGGGAACGGACTGGATCAAGCTAAAGAGGACCTGGAGGACGGGTCCGCCAACGTTATCCAGGATCTCCTCAACCAAGGAGCCAAACTGACAAACAGGACCGAAAAGACTGAAGAGACTCCACTCCATCTCGCCGCACGTTACGCACGCTCGGATATCGCGAAGCGATTCCTGGACAACAGCGCTAATCCCAACGTTCAAGATGCGACCGGAAGAACACCGTTGCACGCAGCTGTCGCCGCGGATGCCGTCGGAGTTTTCCAAATTCTGCTCCGAAATCGCGCCACCGACCTCAACGCGAAAATGTTCGACGGGACCACCCCGCTCATCTTGGCCGTACGCATGGCCGTCGAAGGAATGGTTGAGGACCTGCTGAACGCCGAGGTCGACGTAAACTTGGCCGACGACCACGGAAAGACCGCTCTGCACTGGGCCGCAGCAATCAATCAGGACAACGCGGTGAAGATCCTGCTCAACCACGGAGCGAACCGCGATGCCCAGGACCACAAGGAAGAAACGCCGTTGTTCCTCGCAGCTCGTGAGGGCGCTCGGGACGCGGCCAAGGTCTTGCTGGAATTCGGAGCCAACAGAGACATCACCGATCACATGGATCGGCTGCCGCGAGACATAGCGGCGGAGCGGAAACACCTCGACATGGTGAAGCTACTGGACGAATTCGTTCCTTCGAACCACAATCTTCCGCAAATGGCGATCACCCAGCCAGTGCTCATCAGTAATCCGAGGAACGCGATCTCTTCGGCGACTTCTGCACAAGGTCCCGCCAATAAACCTCTGAAGAAGGCTGTGCGACGGAACCAGAACGCTCTGCAGAATAAAGAGCCCGCGTCACCGTCGGCAGAAAGTGCCGCAGCATCGAATAAGCGCCGATCGCAGAGCATGAAAAAGAAACGGGAACCCCCATCCCCCGTCGTGCTCGGTAACCTCGAGAGCGCTCCGATCCTGAGTCCGAGCTCCGTGGGGTCCCCTCGTTCGGCGACCCTTTCGCCATCGTCGAGTCTTTTCCACGCTCACTCATTGGCCGTCAGTCAGCCCAACTTGACGGGACTCAACGATACCAAACAGCCCCCTCGCTACGAGGATTGCGTCAAAGGTGCGTCCGGCATCTACGACATGACGGCCAGCATGTACGGCGGACCGAGCGGCCTGCTCGATTCTACGAACATCTACACTGCGCCGATGCAGCCTCCTCTTCAACCTCAACCGGCCGTGCATTCTCGACAGCAGAGCCTGCCAGCGGCAGCGGCGACGGGGTTCTCCGCGCCTCCGCCGGTTCCTTCGCCGACGAAGCACCGGCCCGCCCTGCCGACGAGCCCGACCCACATGTTGGCAATGCGGCAGCAACACGCTCAAAATAAACCCAAGATTAGCAGCGGCTCGGCGTACGAGTTCCCAATGAAGTCTGAACCCACAAGCATTTACTCGGGAAGTTCCAGCCAATACCAAATTCCGCCAACGACGACGACACCGCCGGCTTATCATTTCCCTACGCCCCCTAGCGTCTCTCAAGTCTCGCAGTACTCAGATCATCCAACACCTCAGCACTTCTCAACGCACGATCCGAGTTATCTCACTCCGTCACCGGAATCACCTGGACAATGGTCGTCATCGAGTCCGCAATCGGCTCAGAGCGACTGGTCCGACGCCATCCACAGTCCTTCGCACCCACCGCTGGAGATGAAGGTTTTCGCGAACATGCCGGCGATCATTCAACAAGGTCAACAGCAGCAGCAGCAGCAACAACAGCAGGCGACTCAGCAAGTACAACAGCCGCCGCAAAAAACGCATCCAGATGCCGTCTTCATATGAAAAGTGACACTGTTTTTGCATACAACCGAATACAATATTTGATCTCCTTTTGTTGACTGTAAGAGAGGCCAGGGCGGTGTCATTAGTTGTTTTCCGATGTAATAGAACTCGAAAAAATATAATAGTTATCTGGAGGGACTTCTCATGATGCTCATCGAGTCCGTCTCGTGTAAAGAGATGTACATAGGTACATTATTTTATAATTATTATTACTATTATTATTATTTCGACAAGAATAAGATAATAATTCTATGAGGAACAAAATAAAAAAAGAATGTAATTATTCCGGAATATATGATTAACTTTGCAAGCAGGCGGATCTTCGTGCCAGTGAATGGGTAGAGAAAGAATCGAGTCATTGAATAAATGCGGAACGAATAAAGGAGCGGAGGCTCTATTTAACATTGATGCAAGATACGGAATCGTCTGTAAATCAAGATTGCTGAGATGTGAGACGTGAACGTCGATCTGGGACCCACTTGATAGGATTTAGCGTGACGGATTGCTCCATGTTGAAAATGAATGAGAATGTAAAGAATGTCTCGTCATAAGAATCGGACTGTTATAACTCGAATAAAAATCTGCTCAAGACTATTCCCAGCTATCTGTATTTGAGGTTCTTCGGAGCCGAATACTCAGCCTTCGATTGCAGGGCAATTCTTCCGAGGGGCGGTTTGGGGCATTTCCGCTCTTCACAGAGCTTCTGCTCGGTGTTTCGAACACAACCTTTTTGATCGCCTACGATTCCTCTCTTCCGATGGCATCCCGAAGGAGCCGGCGCTGGAACGTCCATTAGGAAATTCGGGAAGGCCAGGCAGCAGAACGAGCCTAGACTCGAAGAGGAGCTGTTCCGAAATCCAAAGTCACAATGACTAGGACGGATCGTGCATCGGGATCTCTATCACCCATGACCCATGACCCACCATTTTCTCACCTCTATTAGGTGTCTTTTCGTTTCAAATCGGGAGATGGAGCCGTCGACCAGATGATAGCATACATGAGTTGCTTTGAAAGTCAAAAAGTCGACGCCTCAATGTGCGACGAGGGACGCGATAATCGGAGTGACTAATGAGAGCAGCACTCAAGAAATCGCCAACAAAAAAAAGATAATGACTAAAGGCACATCGAATGATAGCAGTCATCGTTCACAGATGAAGATGATGAGCCATAAATTCCGAGGAGGAATCTCCCCATCCAGGATCCATCGAAAGCAGGTGAAGCCTGTACAATAGAGTTGAGCACACCTCGACTTCGGCTTGAGAGACTCATCGCCGTTTAAGGAAGCGGCTGCTTGAGCCCACACTCCCTAGAAGAAAACGCTCCGGTTCGACCCAGAGGAGGCAGACCATACTCGATCGACTCCCCTCAGGTCCACTTCGGAATTAGAACCCTACCGCTTGTACCGTCTCGAACATATCGAGGGAAATCGCGTCCACTTCTACAGCCCGATTCTAACCTCTGCCCGGAAGCTTCGCACAACAGCGAGCCAATTCAGAACAGTCTTTTCACGAGCTGTCCAACGGACAAGTCTTGCACGTCGCGATCTCGCGTGAGCCATCGGGAAAGCCGTCCATTATCACTATTATCACTAAAAGCTTATTGAAGAGGCCAGAGGCATATAATGGGTAGTACCATGAGATAGTCTCCCTCATCGCGCAGTATTCGCCGAAGGCCGTTTTGCTGTATCGATGATGAGTGATGAGAGTTTATGGCTCCGAGGACGACGCGCGAAGTATGGACCGGACCGAGTCTGGAAGCGTTGCGGAAGTTTTATTGCGCCGTGCTCCCACCGGGGCACAGACCAAATTTTTCCCGTAATTCTGAGAGCCTGATATGGCTACATTTTGTTTCTACGGGCAAATGCAGCCTGCCGGTGCTCCCTGAAAAATTCTCTGTAGCAGAGTATGAGATCCGGAGCTGCTGCGTGGTTTCATTGCCGATCTCTGAAGAAGCCGATACCGCAGCCCGTATGACTCGGTCGATTTCTGGTATGAGTCATCCCTTGCTGAGAAGGATCCGGCGGCTCCCGGATATGGTCCAAAGATCACGGCTTGGAAAGTAGAAGACATCCCTGGGGATTGTCACGGCAAAGGAAGGAGGAGCTATCAAGAAATTCTTGAGAATGGGCTGCGCTTCCCTGGGATCACGGATGCAAATGCGCGAATCGAGGCTTCCGGGCTGACGTCGAATAGGGTCGAATGACGCTGCCGGCTCGCGAGAAACACCCTAAAATTGGAGGAAATCAAAGACAGAATTGGAAAGGAAGGGACGTGAAGATGTTTAGGAAAATGATACGGAATGACTTCCCACTAGGTTTCAGGATGCTCCCGCTCACGGAATCAAAGACGAAGAAAATACAATTTACGAGGTGTCATGATAACAAACGTATGTATTTTCGACTAGGAGGATATTTTCATCCCCAATCACTCCATACCAAATAACGAATTCTCCGTCAAGAGTATGCCGATACGTTCGAAGTCGCGTGTATCCGGAAAAGACGTCGCGAGCAGTACCTGTGGGACCAAGCCCCGAATCGCCTTCTGGTCTTCATACCCTACGGAGAGGCTGCCCCGAAGCATAAGTGCTCTGAATCCTGGACCAGTCGCGGACGAAGAGAACATTCTTCCAATCCCATCCCAGGGACCTAAGTGTAAGACCCTCCGGAAGATGTCCTAGGGGAAAACGTTCAGGGATGAAAAGTCGCAATGTTCGCTCGAGGTTCTATCACTGATTTTGCTTTCGTCATGTCGATATCCCGCTACTCCAGTGGGATGTCTCATGGGAGGGCAGACGAGCTCCGCTGTCGAACTATTGCGGGAGCGTACGGTCTCAACGCTGACCCATTCTGCAATAATTATCTCAGCTAATGCTAAGAAATTTTGAATTTTGGACATCTCATAAATATCTTTCCGTTTCGCAAGAGCGAGGACCGACGATCACATCGGCGGGGGAATCGCCCCTGGAACACGTCCACGTACCGCCGTTTCTTCGACTCCCGTCCGGATACAACAATCGAGCGCGTACCGTAGATGAGAAGGCATTGAATGCTTCAATGAATGTGTATCTCGCGCGAATATTTTGCCCCACTAAATGCTCATTGTCAGGTAGACACCGGCTCGTTGCTTTCTGGCAGAGAGCCGCGTTCTTAGACCTCATAGAAATTGGGTTCGAAGTCGCGGTGGGGCCTCAGCGCTGGATGCCGAGCGGGCGATTTGAGGCAGATGTCCTGGTTTGAAGCGCGGACGAGACCACCGGGTCTCCAGAGAGTGGAGCATTTTTGGCGCGTTTCGAGTAGACTCCGTTCGAAGCTGAATCCGGACGCGCATTCGATGAAAGCTTACACAATATGAGGTTCCAAGCTAATGGAAAAGGCACTGGGATTGATTTTCCATTGTGTATTGTTGGGTCGGGCGTCCCGTGGTTTTCACAGTTTCAAAAATAATTATATCCAATGTTTCCGTGACTATGCAAACATTTCTCTCGCTCGAAATCTCCCATGCTGAGGTCTATACTCTGGTCTCTCAAAGATAATCCGATGAGCCTGAGAGGGTTCCATTCCATTAACTCGGCAGTCGAAAGACTCACTATTGCTTTCGGAAATCGGTAATTTTCGAGGGTCGAAGACTCCCGCTCAGCCGGGTTTGCTCCGTCGGTCGTTGTTCGTTCGCGATCGTCCCGATTCCGTATAGGATGCCTCCGATGCTGAATTTCTACATATTCTGATGCGGCGAACTTTCGAGAAAGCAGCGATTCCACCCGGAGGCCGTCGGGGCTGTCGGTCACGAACATGGGCAATGAACATCCGGAACTTTTTCCGTTCCTATTATTATCACGAATGTGGAGCCCGTGAGGTATCGATCACCCAAGCAGATGTCAACGGTTTCGAATAAGGCGGAATTCATTCAGGCCGCACCAAAATTAAACCTTCGCCAAGAGCGGGAACAATACGACGAAGTTCAGAGAAAGAGATATTAAGTAGTCATGAGGGTGCAGAGCCATAGACCTTCGCACGGTTCTCCACGTTTCTCATCCGACTAGCGCGATAATCACCGACAGATCGACGGAAAGAGCAAATTGTAGCCCGAGGGATGATATCCCGAAGCCGCGAGAGTCACAAAAAGCAATTGTGGTTTTACTTCTCTTTCTGCTCATAACCGCCCCCGGAAGTTTTTTCCGAACATGACTCGCCTGATCGGTCTGATTCGCGCTCGCCTTTGTCGCGTTTGATCGGTAGACTCTCCTGGATTACTCCCGGACTCCGATCGTGAGTGGCGGATCCTTCCAAGATCTCCACGGATGTCTGATGATATCGGCTCTCTGTCAGCGGCTGAATTCTCGAATTCTGGAGGAATCTCGGGCATTTCACCATCGAATGCGGGCATTTCCTTCTCATTGAACACGGGCACTTCCTGCTCACTGGCATGGGCGGTCCCTCCCTCCACGGATTCGTGAATTTCCGGGTCAGGTTCTGCGTCAGCGGGAAAACTTTTGGACTTTGGAATGACCCGCGCTCGAGCCTCAGACTCTAACTCGCTTAGGTAGGGAGGCTTGACGTTGGTCACGTTCGGGTCCCAGTTTGGCGTGTCGATGAGAGACGCTCCCGCCGATCTCCGGTCTGAGCGAGCATCGAGTCCAGAGTCGTCCGGAACGTTCATAGAAGTTGACAGGTTCTTATATCCGTCACCACCCGCCGGCAGGAATCGGGCTGTCCTTGCATCACCCGCATCCGTTTCGTTCCTTGCATCGGAACCGGTATACTGCGGACGTACGAGATGGATTCCATCTGTAGCAGTACCCGTTGTGAGATTTCCTCGAGTATCGATTATTTCCACCGGAAACTCGTCGGTCACAGTAGGACCAGAGGCTGAGTTCTCCGAGTTCGTCAAGTTCGCGACGGTCCCGTTGAGGGAACTTTCGAAGCCCGTTCCGTCCGAGGATTCACCAGAGAAAGGCCTCGGATTGACACGGGGGGGTAGGTTACAGGTTTCATTCCGGGTGCAATAGAGTTTCACGTGCGTTCCGGAGACGCGATTCCCAGTTGTGGTCTGGTTGATCTTCGACGCTTCAGGGGATCTCGTTGTGCTTCCACCGGACACCTCGCTAGGGAGCGAGGTTCTGACGAGGTCGGGACCGCTGGTCCGAGCGTCGGTGTCATCGTTGAGCTCTGATAGGTTCAGCTGACGCCTCTTCGTGCGGCTGATCGTGTCCACGTCATCGGCTGTAGACGCCGCTTCCGAGCCATTGGACTCTGTATATCCGGTTTCCGCGTCAACAAGCTGGGTCGACGGCGGGTCCTCTTCCTGAACACCGGGAGCAGTCTGTGGTCCCCGCACGTGCGGAACGCTATGAACATCGATCGGTGCTCTCTGAGTCGACACGTGTGGAGGGGTCTCCGTGAACTCGTAGGAAGGAACTTCCGTGGATTCTTTTGAGGAAACTTCCGTAAATTGGTTTGAGGGACTTTCCGTGAATTCGTACGATGGCAGCTCCGAAGCTCCAAATATTAAAACGGAATCCGTGGCCGGGGGATGAGGCGGCGCTCCTTCATCTGGTGGCAGGAGGGGAATTCCGGCTCCGACAGCATCCCCTCCCGGCGGAGTCAATTGCTGTGGGGTTTGCGGCAACCTCGCGTTTGTTAAAGGTCCGCCGTGATTTTCCGACCGGGGACCGAATCTCGTGGAGTCATCTGCTCCCCAGAAGTCGTTCGATCCGGAGCGACTGGGCTGAAACGGAAGTCACGTTTTAAGAATGCAAGCCTCCTGGTGCCCAACCTCGATGGGAAAAATCTTCTCCACCCGAAGGGGCTTCTTCTGATGTCTCTACCGTGCTGGATCCTGTTCGGTCCGTCTGAGAGCGAAAATACCGCGGGTCTTTTCGTTCCGAGGAAGTGGCGATGATTCCAGGCAGCTGAGGGGCTTGTGCGATCGTTCGAGTCCGTTGCAGCTCTTGCGCGTGCGGCACCCTACTCGCTCTCGATACAGTCCTGGGGACTGGCCGATAAGTATGATTACCGATTGTACACCTGAATCTATGCCCTCCACGGCTGCCGGCGGTGACTCCACCGGATTCCGTTTCTTTTCGACTTCCAGCAGCCGGATCGACCAAGGTCATCGAGGGAGCCTGTGAAGTGTTGAGAGCTTTCAGAAAACCGAGACTGATTCTATCCGAGGATGAATCCTCTCCTGGATAGTCGAGTGATAAGTGGAGAGGGTCAACACACACATTTCCTCGAATGCCCTCCCCGGCGACAATTCTGAGGCGCGGCCTCGAATCGATCTCCGGCGACTCCACGGTAGAATCTTCGAGCACCGTGTTTCGTGCAGGTGGGCTGAATGGATCGAGACTCTGTCCGTCTGGGGACGATTTCGCCTCAATTGCCGAATTCGTCAGCCGGGAATCCGTAGCTCCTGGGGAATGAACGTCATCGATGCAAAGACAATATTCCTTTTGGGGAACCAAGAAAGGTTCATAAGAAAAGGTTCTCGAACTCTTCGATGCCCTTGAGGGAAAATATTCGTCCCGACATGTCTGATAACCCGATACGGCTACCGATCGACGCCGACATGGGGGTATGGGTGAAGGAGACAAGGTAAGATGGCTCATCCTTCTCTTCAGGGTGCCTCACGATCACGAGCTTGACTTATAATCACAGTGAAGAAACCGTCCACTCTCGATGAATTTGTTATCGTCGGTAAAGGTCACAGAGGAGAAGGGATGAGGAATGATCGGATCCAAGGAAATCTTTGCGGAGCACAGAAGACGTCGGGTGACGTACAGTGCACAAGGATAATCCTTCCCGACTGCGTGACCTTTACCTACGATAAACAATTCATCTCTATCGAAAAGTTCGGAGCTGTTTTATTTATATCAAGGTGCGGTTCGAATCGTAGGCGTGTGAGGCCGGAATCGCGAGAAACTATCTTTCATCATTGCACGGTCAATTGAAGACTTCAATCCGGAGAACTCTTTTCCCATCGGACCCACCGAGCCTACCTCTCCTCGCGTCATCGAGCTGGATGGTATGCTGCGTTTCCGATCCAGGATAAGGATGAGTGGGTTGACCGAAAACATATTGAACAGTGCCCTGCGGATTATTCGAATTAGTTGGGGTTGCATGCTCTGAGAGATTATTCTCGCCCACCGATAATCCGTGCTGTCTCCCGGATCCCACAATTTCTCGGTCGCTCACTTGGCCTCTGAAAGTTGAACCAGAGTTCCCATATGCCCCCGGAAAAGCGAAGTCCGTCTGGTCGGGACCTAAATCCTTGGGTTGGGGAGCGGATCGATGCGTTCCCACTTCTGGAACGTCAATTACGCCACTGATGTCACCAATGGGTGAAGAATCAGCGGGAGTCGAATCGCCTTGCGCACCTGGAAGTACTCATTCTTCAGAGTTCTCGGTTCGCCGGCAACGTGACTGTCAACGTTGTGACGCTCCAATCGAAGGCCCTTGTACCCCTCGGCAGAAAAGTACTCAGAAGCCCCTGAGCCTACGTGGGTGAGACACTAGTCAAGCTTCGATCGGAGGCCGCACTCCTAGGAACTCATCTTCGAGATTTTCGCCTCAGTCGAGAGAATGATTACCTTGGTTGACGCTTTGGGGCTTACGCCTCACTCCGAAAAGTAATTCGAACATCTTTGGGCTCAGCTCCGGTCCCAAATCGAATCCCAAGGGAATGACCTGCAGATCACTAACTTGTGATAAAACTTTGTCTCGGGCATCGGGAGCAAGACAGTGAAGATGATCTGAACAGCAAGCCGCGAGCTTCATCAGGTGGGACTTTTTGATCACCACGAAACGGTCGTCGGTCTCGCCGCCGAGCGGAGCTTCTGCCCGGAGCGGGGGTCCCACAGGCTCCTCGGGTTGGGGCAACGGGACATTCTGAGGATTCGCGATCAATGGCGTGGGGGCGACGGGCACCTCGTTCTGGATTTCACCATTCGAGGGAGGGGCGGCCGGACCCCTTTCAGGAGCAAAGAGAGAATCAGGCTCCCCTGGATTGATGTTTGCCGAGGGGGGAGCCTCCTTAGGGTTCGAAATTATGTTCCCTGGCACTGGCTGCTCATAGATCGGTGGATTGGCCAAGTTCAACTGAGCCTGCTGATCGGCGAGTTCCTCGGCTTTTTGAGCTTCCAGTTTATCGAAATCGTCCGGTTTCATCACTAGCAACGGCATTGCTGTCACCAGTGGAGCAGAAGTAGCGAGGCGCACTGCGGGGATTTGACTTTCCGTAAGTCTCGCACACAACAAAAAAAATACGAGTCCATCCGCGAGTTTCCAAATCATTTTGAACGAAAGCCGCTAGGACTGAGATGGTCCCGAGCCGCGTGATGATTTTATAAGACCGGAGGCGTGACTAGGACGCTATTAATCAACGGTCGGTGAACTATCTGCTCCCGATAATTGATACTGTGCGGAAATAAATTATATCTGCCGGAACGAGCTAGTCTTGCAGAGGTCACCCGTGTCCAACAGTGGGCTTTTCGGGAGCGTGAACCGGATTGGAAGCTGACCCGGGAGAAATCAATCTCGCTCCATCGTGAGTCATGGAGATCGGGCGGAATCATTTTCGTTGAAACTCTCCCTCGTCAAGGTCAGTACCTCTCTCGGAGTGCCTCCCGGAATGGGCCGTGGTCTCACCGGAGCGATTCATCCTCCGAACTTCTCCCAGATACACCGGACCCGGAGCCGGAGAACATCCCGAAAATACGAGGCAGAGACACGGGCCTCACCGAACTGCTGGTTTGAAACATCACTCGCGTTGAATGTTCGGATCCGAATCCAAGCGATATCGGTAGCGTTCTTCATGTCAGGAAGCTTTGCGCCTACAGCGTCAGTTAGCTCGTTGCTCCCACTCCCCCTGAAGCGGGCCATGACTGCAGGCATGCTTCCCCTTACGGATCTCACAAGAGCTGTAGCAGGAAGATGGCGATACCGAATCGCCATGACCTCTATAATTATGCCCCTAGTGAACCTAATGCATATTTTATAGTTAAATTGACATCTTACATATCTGTGGACTCAAATACGCCAAAAAGCGCCCAAGCGAGAGATCATTATTTCATGGCTATTTCCGAAAGAGTCCTCGCATCGGCGCCGCGCCTCTCGCCCGGCCTACGGGCTTCATCTGTGATATCCGATAAGATCGGCGTCCAGTCTTGCAGGCCTACGCCCAGACCTTTCTCCGCAAGAACCTTCGATACCTCGATCAGAATGAGAGCTCGAAGGCGAAGAAGGAGAGATCCATGGAGATGGGCGCCCGGGCTAGGTCCCGGAGAAATTCGTTCATGCGTCTTGTTTATCAATAGTGTTTTTGAGGAGACGACTCGACGACTCCGGCGAGAAATTTTCGTCGTCCCAACACACACGATTTTCGCGTGTGCGCGATCGGAGGGATGAACGTTCTCAGAAGAACTCTTTCATTCTTACCGAAGCAAATACAGTTTCGACAGACTGGAATAAATACCTACGAGAGGGCAGCGAATGAAATCTTCGAGAGGGTGAGTCTCAGCATGAAAATTGATGGACAGGGTGATGCGAGTGATATAGGTAAGTCACGATTGACCCGGGTCATCATGGAGCCTTTCATTGCTCGCAGGTCAGGAAATTGCGCGAAACAGCCGACCAGCATGTACCTCCGAAACTCTTCGTGGTGGAACGAATAGCCACCCTGAGGGATCGGCCTCACTGGGAGAAGAAAATATGTGAGCTCATGGGTCTGTCACATTCGAGGAGAGAAAGAAGCTGCTCCATACAGAAAAAGGTGAGAGGCAATGGAGATTTGTCCACCGCTAGTCCTCCAAACATGATTCTTTTTTCCATCGGAAGCCCGCACCCATGCTGCCGAATTATTCGATGAATTATAGTGGATTCGAACGTCCATTTGCAGATAGGAACGTACGTGGTGATGCCGAATACACCCCACGTATGCAAACTGCTCTGGCGGATCAAACATCTGGTTCGGGTTAAGCCCGTGGTATTCCCCGACGGACTTCCCACCCCTGAAGAGTACACCGGCACCCATCTCGATCGGTACGGAGTCTTCCGGATTGACCAAAGCCTACAAGTAGATGAACGGAGGCTCGCCCCCGCCCCCGATCTTGAGAGAGCCACTCTCACGGGTCGCGAGATTGCAAAACCAATGCATCTGAAGTGGATGAACAGTCTCTAAGTTGTCGAATAAATAATAGTCTCTCGGACATGCTCTGCTCAATGTATCATCATCTTGTTCGGGACGCCACCATCTTGAGCCTCTGCGTGATGAGGACCTCTGGACGAAGTCAATCCCATAGACTTCGCTGTTGACAATCAAATTCATTCTGGGGGAAATGTCGGAGATCGGACAATCTCCCGGAACCCGTGACCGATCGGACGAGGAGCCTGAGGGACCAGGGCACCGGAGTTTTTCTCGACATAAGTTTGTATTAGCTTAATTTTCTATGATTATTGTATATCCGTATCCATCTTAATTTATTTCGAACCCTCTATTCACAATCTGTGGCCTTGATGGGCGTGGGTTATACAAGGTTCTGATGGTTCACTTCTGCGTCATGCACTACACGCAACATACGTCCGCTCCCAAGGAGCCCGTATCCTAGACCTCATCCTGTACTTTATACATCCCTGAATCGAACCCTTTCCGAAACATGCGGGATATGGTCATCAGATGCGCAGCATGAGGACTGGATTCCTCAACTGATGATGTCCTGGGACATGAGACCGTCGTCTTCCTGCAGCGGGTTCTCTTGGTGTTTCACAATTGTGATGTAAGAGCCTTCTACTCGGATCTCCTTCACTTCCGCTGCCGTGAGATTTTGAGCCCTCAGAATGTCTTCGATTACTTCGCCAGAGAGAGCGGGCGCGCCTGAGCTATCCTGAAACCCGGCAAAGAGAAAACGTCAGCTCCATTCATGTTCTTCACGAAGAGGGCACAGCAAATCTTTGAATATCTCAATCGCGATATGGTGAGATCTTTGAAACAGATCATCTCTGTCGATATCTCTGGAACCGCCAATCTGAATCTATATCTCTCGAAGAAATCGCCTTTATCCCGAATATATACCTGTATGACCGTTAGTTGACCATATTGAGACGCCAGAGCCTGAGCATCGGCTTCGACGATGTCGCCGAGAGGATCGATGTGTTGCAGCAAGAGTTGCCCTTCGGTAATTCCTTCGACCTCTTCGAGAACTGCGGCTTCAGACGCGTCGAGGCCATGTACTGCTTGAGCCGACTGGATGTCCTGGAAAGCTTCATTGCATTTCTGAAGGGAATTCCGGCTCTTCCTTGTTTTTCTGCTCTTCTTCAGGATCCGTCCCTCTTCACCAGCCACGATGTTCTCCTCTATTTCCTCCGCACTGCCTTCGCTCTCGTCTTCTGGATCCGTTTCGGACATTTCCTCGCGGAGCTCCGAAGCGATCTGAGGATCCGGATTGTCGAGGGTGGAGCTCAAATATCGACGTTTGTACAGGAGCCTGGAAGACAACGGGCTCTCAGCTCGAAATCGAAATCTATGGGATCCGACCAAAGTGATCGGAAAAGTTTTTGACGACTTTAGGGGTGGTGACGATCGATTTGCCTACCGGTTCAGTGTTTTGAGCGATGGGAACGGCTGACCCTGATTCAGAATCTCTTGATAGCCGTTTCTGCCGCAGGCTAGAACTAGCTTGGCAGCTCGGCGGACGGTCTCCATGTCCCAGGGACGTCCCCTGGTTGTTCCGTCGGTCAATCGAGCCATCTGGTGCTTCGTGTATATCTCCTTGAGACTCTCTTTCAAGCGTTCGATTTTACTCGCGGCAGCCGCCCGAGTACTGTCTTGTTGGTTGAGCTCTTGCTTGAGATCAGCGATTTTCACTTCGAGATCACGAATGACTGTGGACTTCTGATTGAGTTTCTCTTGCATTTGTAGACAATTTCCGCACGAAGTCATGTTGATTTTCTTCGGAGGAGCGATGCTGACATTCGGCAGCATCCTCTTCATCGCGAGCTTCGGCTGATCGGTGGCGATCACAACAACCGAGGTTGTTTTCGGACTCACTGAGAAACAAAGAACGAACGAACTCAAGGCGGTGCTTCGAACACGGATCCCGAAACTCCATGGACCTCGCCAGGGGAAGTTCTCCCATGAAGCGCGGAATTAGATGCATACGAGGCTCACCTATGCTTGGACGAACTTCGCCAGTTGCTCGAGTTATGACCGGCTTGAAAGTGTGACCCGACTGGGGACTTTCACGTCGCGTTCTCACGTCGAAACCGGCGTCGAAAGCAATTTTGGGCTTCGGAAGGATTCCGGCCGCACTCCGAGTTCGGATGATGGACACATTGGGCTGAAAGGAGTATTTTCATGGCTTCGCATTTCAGGTCATCAGTCATCACATTTCATGCTCATCATTCGACCCGGTTCTGTATGCGTCGGAGGTGAACTCACCTTGCCTAGCACTTTTGGCGCCGAGTCTTTCTCCGGGAAAATTGTAGGGTTCGCCCCCCTGGCCATTTTCGGGGGCGCTGTCTCAGACTCTTGTATGAAACACGAGTCTTCGAAATGGATCTGACAGACGTAGCTCGCCGCGGCAGGTTCCCAATTGGAAGCGACACAACCACTCTGCCTGTGCATCGAGAAAAAAAAGTTTGAACGATCATGCAATGAATATGATCTATGGAAAATTCGCAGACATCCCCTGAAGGCTGAGATGCGGATGAAATGGATAGTCTTCAGGTTTCGTGTAGCCCTACCGTATGTACTCGATCCACGTCTGTCTTCTATCCAGAGCTTGAGGGAACGCGCACAGCTTCTCGCCATCTTTCAAACCCATGGATTTGCATCCCGGAATGCAACAGGTACGCAAAGCTGTCGACATTGTACGGGTGGATCGCGCGGATCAATACCAGAGGTATCTCTGATGTGTCCGATAATGTAATAAGCAGAAATTAGAGGGTCATAGCTGGAAACGGAAACTCCAGAATTCTAGTCCTCGGCTTTCGAAGGATACTCACACAGCGGGGCGAGTTAGGGTTCCCGGGATAAGGTTTTCAGCTTTCGCGGCGACTTTTCCCCGCGTTCTAGTTCAAACTCACAATGTGGACAACTCTACTTCTAGTCGACGTCAACCTCATCGCGAGTCTTCCGCCGAAACCCGGGGCTCTACTGGCAAGCTCTCTCTGGACACGTTTTATCCCTATTTTGCAAGCTGCGTGAAATCTGAGTTCCGCAACAGTAGAGCCGATCGACGGGAAGAACGAACTGGACTCCAGTTTCCCCTCAGTTTCCACCAGAGCAATTGGTTGAGTAAGCCGCCGACATCCAGGATCGAAGCTCCCTCGATAAGTTGTCCGTTCGGTCTCAACTTCCGGGTGCTCCGAGATCATGTGCCCTGTCGAAAGATCAGCCAGCGGATCTGGACTTGATTTCTGAGAATGATTTCTCGGAGATACATTATCACTTAAGATGCGCATCGCTGATCAGTTTTCATGCGAAAATAAGCGGACATCAGGGGCTGTTTCCGGGTGCAGCTTGAGCGTCGCAACGAGAGGTTTGTTGGTGTTGTCTGTACTGCTTCTCGAACTCCGACGAAGAACAACAGCAACAGACAGTCTCTGCGTAGAAACCGAGCGGACCTATCATGTGAGCGCGGACTAGAGCTGTGTCTCGAGTTGAAACAGCAGAAAGTGACAAGTCTTCGAAATGGCGCATCACTGGACGTTGATTGTGCTTTTCAGCGGTTATTTGCCGCTGGCACTGACCATTCTGGTGAGTAGGGAGTAAGGCTTCGAGACACCAGATTGTCCGACGCGAAGCATCATCATATGTTTTCTGTCACCTGGAAGATTCATAGATTCTGCGATCCCAGGACTCTTTACGATGATCCCAAGAGCGGCGAATTGAGCCCTGGGGACATTGTGACGACTGACACATAGGAACAGGGTCAGATACTCGAAAGCGAAATGATTTTGGCCAATAATCGCCTGGCACCTGCCCCAGGAGCGCCGATGAAGCTCAGCTTCATATTTGGAGCTTTCTCTTGCATTTCTTCTCGGACGCTGTTCCTGTTCTTCATGCTAAGCGAAAGAAGACAAGTGTAGTCAAGAATGTGAAACACTTCGTCACCGTGTCTGTGCGCTACAGTGTTCATTACATCGCTCCAGAAACGTCTGGGGCATGACACATCGTCTTCGTATACGGACGCCGCGGAGCCGTCGAGAATGTGATGGCGGCTTCGTTTACCCGTACAGACGGAGCGTGTGAGCTTTGGCAGGCGGAACTCACTTACAAACTCATTCTCTATTTCCAGTTCACGGTATCCTTCGCATGGTTCTACACTCGGCGTTATGCGTCCGAAACGCAGCATAGTTGCCTGTCGCTGATAACGGTGATCAGCGGGCTTTCATTCTCGCTATTGACGTGTCTTCTCATACCGATCGACGTGTTCTTCGCCTCTTACGCCAAGCTCCACAATGGAACTTTCGCGGATTGGGCGAAAAACGGCACCCTGCTACAGGATGTCGAAGACACGCTGGAAGGCACCTACTTCGGTGAGCTGTCCGCTATCGAAATTTCCTCGTGGGGTTCCAATGGATGCTTCGAGCCGCGATTCATCAATGGAAGTTTTCTCTTGCAGCGTTCTACTCCATTGTACTGATCTACTTGTTCCTCATCTTACCGTTTGTGTATTTCTATTCGGAATACCAAACCGATCCGATACTGGAGTCGTCGTTCGCCCAGAGCTTCAGGCGTGCCATTCTCTACACCTCGGTGTTCCCGCTGGCACTCGGCGTTATGCTAACAATGGGTCGGTAGAACGTGGAGTCGAAAACATACCTACTTCGTTGACGCCAGTGATGCAGACTGCAATATCCTCAAGACTGATTCTTAACTCCTAATATGTATTCGCAGGGGCGATCATTCCCATGAGACAGAATTCCCATAACGCGACAGACTGGGATTGGATCCGTCACGAGCTCGTCGACAACAAGGGTCAGGACGCTTTTGGTTTCGCGTTTTCGATCCTCTCCGCTCTCGGCGTCTGCACTCTGATTTTGTATCTCGTAAGTTTTGGAGGAAACAGGAAGTTCCCGCCAATTCTAGGCTCCAGATCGGGATCCACGTTCGGATTGGAACCTTGAACTTCCTTCGAGAGCATTTTACCGATTACTTAATTATTCGTCTCTCCACTCCCCAGGGTCTCGGAATGATGGCTTTCCCACTGTCTCTCATTCGAGGGTTCGCATCGGCTGCCAAGGAACGCGTCAACCTCCGCGAGCAACAGGAGAATCTGAAAGCTCGCATAGCAGTCCTGAAAGGTCGAATTCAGATGAGGAACGCTTCGCAAGAAGATTACCAAATTCTCGCCGAGCTCACGGAAGAGGAAGCCCAGCTCCTTCGTCACGAGAGGTCTGTACCGTGAGAACTCGTGGTCCTTCGGTTCCTAGTCAATAGAACCCAAGTTTCGGCCCAAGTTTCTCGAGTACTCCGAGAGGTCGATTCCCTGAGCCATCGACTCTAGCTCCGAATGAACGGATTTTTCCTCTTGCAGATACGTTGCGGAGTTCCAAGCCACTTGGACATATCGACTCCGCCGGATGATCCGTCCCGTACAAATGATTTTCGGTTTCATGGGGCTATCGCTGTCGCTGTTGGTAGTGGTTTCACTGCTCTTGTCCAACGTCGATAAGGTCACCAACTCGGACGCGAACTCAGGATACGTTCTGAAGCTGGCAACGCTCCCGAACCCGATAGATTACATCCTCTTGGAATGCCAAAAGGTGATTGACTGAGCGGGATTTTTCTGAGCTTTTCCCGGGATGACTCTCTTAGGTGCAGGTCGACGATTCTCGGGGTTGAGCATGCAAGGTCGAGGATCGAGATCTGACTGCAATGTCCGTAAAGAAGACACTCTGACTGATGTGTTTTTCTCTTCACAGTTCCTCTCCCTCGATTACGTTTTCTTCGGATCTCTGATCTCCTACCTGGTTGTCTGCTGTATCTTCTCGATCCAGAGATTCGGCATCTGGTGCTGCTGTTTCAAGGTGAGCTCGAGTTATCGATACTACTGCATGGATTGATGACTTCTGACGCAAGGTCCGATCGGAGCTTAGAATCACAGTTCTCGGAACACGGTATTCGGAATAAGAGCATATTTTCTCCCAGGCCTACTCCATCCGTCGAGGGCGTACGCTCCCGCAGGCCCTGATAATGATGTGCGGTATCCTGATTCTTTGTGTCTTCGGACTCAACATCCTGATCTACGCGATTTCTCCCCAATACACGACATTCGGAAGTCAACATTACATTCTGAACGGTAGGTCAGCCTTGACTTTCCGCGATAGACGAACGACCATGAGGACGGCTACGCTCGGAGCTATGCGGAAACATTACCGGCACCCACGACGTGACAGCTGTGCGCTCAGAGACTCCCCGAGGGCTATCACATCTCGCTCATGTGTCACTTACGGAAGAAACTTAAAAGTATTTTTTTCCTTGTAGACACGATTAGGCCGTGTGATTTCGACGCTCCGCCACACGAATGTATACAGACGAGGGCCACCTCATTGCTGAACCGTTTCAACTACAGAATGGCTGTCTTTGGTTTCGGATACTATTGGCTCTCCTGGTTATTCATTCTGGTAAGCAACTGCGAAGCCATTCTGAAGGTCGGAGGCAGTTCCTGGTTGCGCAACGGCCGCCTGACTTCGAATAATTTACACGCGATAAAAGCTCACGGTCTGCTTGTTTCCAGGTGTCCGTCGGGGGTTACTTTGTGTTCCAGTTCAGGAGCCGGATATCTGTTGCCGGTCAGCGCGACGAGGAGGAAGACGATCTGATGGAGTGATAGGGAACTCCTGCCAATCTCCGTCTTAATTCACAGACCGAACTCCGGTTGATTAGCTCCGCTTCTATGGGATGGAAATTCTCCCAGGCGTGTTCCAACCTAGGTGAATCCGCGGGAACACTATCCTTGTTCAAATCAGCGATATAAGAGAAAAATAGTGCTTATAACTGCTCTTCGTGATTTGCGATCAAAGGATAGCAATGGTGGGAAGGTCTCCCAAGTTCAAACCCCGACCACCCGATTCGCTCGCTTTACACGGTGGAAATGATCAGACTTCCACTTAATTCTCCCGCACTGTGATCAAAGAAGAAAGCTTCAGGTTCCAACGGACGGAAGTTCGCGCTCCTTCGTGTTCAGGTCTCCGTACAGGGCACTTGAGACCAGATTGATGGCTTATATATTTTTCTTCCCATTTTAGACGATAAATCATCAGGGCTCGTTCTCCGATAGCTTGAACTGGTGTAGATTCTGGAACTCGTCTGTGAGAAGAGTTTTGGTGTCTGATACTGGAAATCGGGATCGAGCATTTCAGAGTTGTCCCCGGTGTTTGTGTTCAGTATTCAAGATTTTCAGGCCGGAGATGAGTTTGTACAACAAGACAACTACGGCCGGTAACGAGGTTCCGGGAACGGAAATGTAGATTTATGGACCTGCTGGGCGAGAGCTCGATTTCAAGCGACTACTGTATCCATCGAGTTTTGAATAAACAGACCTGATGTAGAATTGTTTCTCCCTAAAGTATATCTGCCTCTCCGGAAGCGGAAATGATTTCCATCTGTTCCAGGGCTCTCGAGGCTTCCAATGGAGCGCAGTCACGCAATTTATCTGAGCCTCGCGTCCCGATGGCCTCTATTCCCTTTATAAACGATAATGAAGGCGTGTCTTGAGGCGTTTCCTCCTCGCGGATTTTTCGGATGCTCCTTATCGAGATGACATTGACTTCTGGATCGTGCATTCGTGAGTGCGACTCGTGGAGCGATATCGGCGATCGATTCGCTCTGACTGAACCAGGAATCGTCTCCCAGAACAGGAACCATTCGATTTGATCGCACCGAGTGTCCGTCAACTGCTGCTGACGACCACGTAACGATTTTCTGGACCAACGACGTGAAACTGCCGCGTCTATCATCACGTCTCCGGGATTAGGCAATCGCCCGGCGTATTTTGTTCTGATCTTGACGATGAAATTCAATGCCGATGGCAGTTTTCGGCATAGAACCGTCCACGGAGTACCAGAGAAGTCTGTTTTAACTTTTTCTCCATGAGAATCATGGATGGATGGGGTATCCGATTGCTCGGCGCACTGAGAGGACCCTATACACCCAAAGACGAATCTCGGGGTAGGGGATCAGAGTTGAGCGGGAGCTTCTTCGCGGATCGGAGACCGACGGAATGATTTCGAATTACGGCGTCGCCGCTGCTTGACACCCACCGTTTCCATGAGTTGCTAGATTTCCGAAGAGACGTATTCCCTTGCAAAGTAAGCAACAGATACGCTCCTTGACTCAATTCCGTATTGGTATTACAGGGGCAAGGATCAAGGAAGTTCACCCAAGGCAATCGTTGATACTTGCTCCAAATCTTTCGTAATTCAAGTCGTAGCACTCAGATGATCTCAGGGAATAATTCCTGTCGGTTTCAAGCTCGAAACTTCTTTTCGCCCGATTCGGAAAAAATCCCATCCCGATCTCGGGAAAATTTCGAGAGTCCGCGACTTCTGGCAACCGATCGGTTCCGACTGTCGACCATTCGAACGCACTCTCGGTCAGATCGAACAGCTGTGCGGGAAGTGCACGGCAACCCCAAATCGAACTTTTCTCAATTTATCGAAGCTACTTCGAAACACCGGGATGCGCTGTTCATCTTGAACAAGAGCTGCAGATCTCGTACTTCGTCCGTTAAGTACGACGATAGCGGCCTTGGCTCGCTGCAGAGCTTTCGCAAGAGGCCAACGGCACATTCACTTTCTCCTGTTGGTGCGAGGGTTCATTCTGTCTGTCTGTCTGTCGGTCGGTCGATCTGTCTGTCGCTCTGTCTATGTTCCCGCCTGCCCGCCATTCAGTTCGCCTGGCTGTGCGTCGGGCCGCCGCGAATGTTACTCAATCCTTTCCCTTCAGACGATCGGCCGTGATTCACGCAACGGACCTCTACCATTCCAGAAATCCAGCTTGTGAGACTTGGCGAGCCGACCGAATGCTGTGCGGTGACAGCGAGTGAGTGAAGTTGGAGCCAGCCTACCTCGTCGTCAACTCAGTGAACTCGCGAGCATTCGGGGAGTCGCGTCGCGTGCGTCCTCGCGTTCTAGGATATTGTCTGTGATTTTCTTCAAACTGCATCAACATGGAGGAGCTATCGTGCGCCGACTGGATCATCCTCGACACGAAATTGACAGCAAGTGGATTTTCCGTGCCTGTGATACCCGATATCATAAAACAAGCGATCGATGAAGATCTCGTCGCGCGGTGTAGAAAGAAAATCGCCGCGGAGATACAGGATAAATTCATCGATTGCCAACAACAGCATCTCCAACACAATAGTGCAACTTTGAAGAAAAACGAGGCGATATGTCAGGTCTCCGAATCAACTCATATAGAGCCGGACAAAGAAGGCTTCTGGGAGGTATGCCATTACTCGGTGCTACCTCACTGGCTTCAAGACAATGACTTTTTGCTCAACGGCCACCGGCCACCACTGAGATCGTTCAAGCTGTGCTTCAACTCTCTCTTCCGGATCCACACGGAGACTGTAAACATCTGGTCTCATCTGATAGGAGCCTTCATGTTCGCGTGTACCGCGTTCTCGTTCCTGGCGACGGAACGGTTAGAGCTCGCCGAGTATGTGGCTTTCGCCGCCTTCTTCCTAGGAGTATTCACTTGTTTTTTCATTTCAACCCTGTACCACACGATGCACTGTCATTCGATGGAGGTTAGCCAAGTGTTTAGCAGGCTGGATTACTGTGGAATCGTCAGCATCATCGCGGGTTGCTTCACCCCCTGGATACACTACCTGTTCTGGTGTTCGCCTATGAGCAAAATCGTCTACATGGCGGTCGCCTACAGTCTGTGCGTTCTGACGGTCAATCTGACCATGTGGGAGAAGTTCGGACAGTCACAGTTCCGTGTGCTGAGAGCCTCGATTTTCACCGGTCTCGGTTTGAGCTGCTCAATCTTCCCTGGAACCCATTTCGTGCTCATCCATGGTCTATACGCCGCGTTCGTGGATCTGGCATTCGGTTGGTTGTTCACCATGTTCGCGGTGGCTATGTTCGGAGTAGCGTTGTACGCGATGCGAGTTCCGGAGCGTTTCATGCCGGGGAAGTTCGACGTCTGGTGTCACTCGCATCAATTCTTCCATGTGGCCGTCATCGTCGGAGCGTACGTTCATCTGCATTGCCTCTGCCAGATGGCTAGATTCCGACACGGGGACGGCGAGCTCTGTCCCAGCGATTACGATCGATTCATGCTATTTTAAAGAGATCGCCGTTTTTTTTTTCGTTCGCTCGTCCATGCCCGCTCATTCAGCGTAGGGGGTCCAACGAAGTGTGTTTAGACGAGTGTCTCCGTCACGTGGTGATGAGTATTCTCTTACTTAGCGGACAGTCGGCTGATCACGCCGCAAAAATTCGCTGGGCCGCGATTTCCCAAGACTTTATTTCAAGGAAACAAACGCTCTTTTCGTTGATTTGCATCTTATCAGAAACTCGGTCGACCAAAGTCATTGGAAGTTCGCCGAGTTTCACGGGGCGCGCTTTCCTCGCGAATGAGTGAATCGATCGACATCGAGAAAAAACATTCGACAGAGCGACAGCAGGAAGCCAAGCTGAATTTGTGATTTTAGTCAAGTCTCTATCTCTGCGAAGAGGAAACGCGGATGAAAGATGAGGCAAATGAGAAGCATTAGCCGTAGGAATTTTTCAAGGTATTGAGTAACAGGTAGTAGTAGTAGCAGTAGTAGATGTAGTAGGCTGAGAGAGAAAATAACTACGAAGCTCGCAGGACTTGCGGAACCTTCCGCGGGTCGCGTCAAGGTCACGCGGAGCGTTCCCGTTACAACAAAATGCAGCTTTCAACAGCAGCAATCGCCATGATTTCATTTCGTGATCTTCTGTACGGAAGGTCGCAAAGTGAAGAAGAAAATAAACATACACGCGGCTCATTCCATGATAACAAAGGCTTATCGTCGTCGAATCGAGCTCCCATGTCATATACAAGTTGTAGGTATGTATTCTGTGCAGTCGGAGAACGTCAGAGGAGCCCCGTCGGGGGAGCCGCCGGCAGCGGCGCGGAGAAACCTGTAAAAAAGAACCGTGTGCATCCGAAGAGTGGCTCAAAGCGAACAAATGGTTCAGTGACGTCACTGACAGTTGACGCAGGAGGAAGCTCTATACGAAAAATAAAACTCGTTTGCTAGAAACAGTTCGCGGTTCGTTTCTTTCTTCTTGGATTTCCTCCAGAAAACTTTCCATCCGCTGCCTCGCTCGCTTCGAACGCATCCAAGTGCCCGAATTCGTCACGCGATCGGAACAATGGTGGTCTCCGGGAGGGACGGGAGGGCTCCTCATCCGAGAATTCCTATCGAAAAACCCGAAGAGGTCAAGCGGATAATCGCGCTCGGCGTTAGAGATCGAGCTTCAAGCATAATATGCGCTTCCGAATCCTCGACTCATATCCAGCTGAGGTATGCGAAACCAATGAGGGTTTTCCTGCCGGAAACTTATCATCGATGTCTGTATTATGCACAAGTCTACAGAGCGGAAGAGATGTTATGACAGAATATTCTGCAGAGACGGCGTCCAATCGACGAATAAGAAAAACAGAGTACTTGATTGCGGGCAGGTTGTTTTCCGGAATTCGCGAAAACAGGAGACCGATGTCGGAACGCGCTGGCCCCGATTGACGCTTCGCTGACGAGGACGAACGAAGCAGAATGCAAAAATCCTTGCGAGTCGTAGCGTTCTCGAGACCAGAAATCTCGAGAAACTCGACGCGCGGCATTGGAGTAGTGTACTCAACAAACAGTATTCTATCACATGAGGTATTTCCTCGAGATGTGCCAAACCCTCCGAGGCGAACGGCGGAGCAGCGGTCGAGAGTGTTTACGTCATCCGTGGTTCTTGAAAACAAATGACTACCCGGAGAAAAATAAGCAGCATTGACAAAGTTCGGGAACCGCTCGAACGGGTTGGCTGCGCCAATTTAGAACCGGTGTCTGACAGCCTCTCTCGTGACCGGTGCCCGTACAATCGCTCGCCGGTTCGTCCACCCGCCCGCTCGAGGGAGCCTTGCCTTTACAATAATTCCTCCTCGAGATACTAAGGCCATTGACCCTGTCTTGTCGATAATTATTAGTCTCCGATTCAATGGTCAACACGCTGTCCGTGGTCGAATCGGGCGTGCTCTTTCGACTATGCTATTCTGACGGCGCATCACTCCTGTCGGTTCCAGCCGTACATCCATGACGTCTTTGAGAAGTTCTGCCGACCTCCGTGGCTCGGCTTCCTCAAATGGTTCGAAGGACATCACGCGGGTGAACGTTTCGGAATACTGACGCCGTGGGATCACAGAATTGAAATTCTTAAAGGGTTGTCATTACCGAGCTGCGTGTTGCAAAGGGATTTTCTGTGCTGCTACGTCACGAGGGACGGGAGACCCTCGGAAGAATGATCCAATATTCTGGACCAAGAATTCACGGCTCCCGGATTGTGTAACCGTATATACGTCGGAGCTTTGTATCCATGGGAAAGACCCATCTGTCTTTCATGATGGAGTTCCTAGAGATGAATCAAAGCACTCCTCGAGAGACGCGAGCTATCAGGATGTTTCCTCGTGAACCACTGCATTATTCCGTTCTGACGCTCTCACGCGCGGGAATAACAACCACGTCGTCATTGCGACTCCGATTCAGGATGGGTAGGCGATTCTCCATGGATTATTTCCACGGAAGCTATCGTCCCCAACCTTCATGAGGAGATTTCGTTCCGAGAAAGGCTGCTTACGCACGTCCCGGGCGGTGGCACTCATTCAATCAATGGCCTTCCTCGGCGCACACCAAGTCTTCGTTTAACAATAGATGATAAGTGTTCCGCATAAGTGCTCGTTTGCAGAAACCAGCTCGGCAACTCATCGGAACGTTTTCAATATGGCGCGGGGTGTTAGAATCTTCCTTTCCTCTAAATACGAGGTGGGCAAGGAACAAGAGCTACGAAATATCCTGTCACGGACCCGCAAATCGTGGGCCTCGTGGGAATGTGCAAATCGGAATTCTCGTGACTCCGTGGCGGGTAACCTAGTCCGGCTTTCTGGCCTTGGAGCCATCCTGGGAGCATTAGCCTCGGACAAAAATGAATAGATCGAAGCAGAAATGTTCTGTCAGCGTTTCGCTCGGACATCACCCGATTTGGGCTCCCCGAGTGCAGAAGATCCTTTGACCAGACCAGTTTTTATCTCTGTATCTCCGATGTGCCAGAATTCCGCGCGACGCGTCGCGGCGATAATGCTCGGTCTTAGATGATTGCCTTGAGTTGAAGATTGTGAATGATAAAATAATTAAGGAATGGTGCAACCGGATATACAAAGACGAGTGCGGAGCGAAGAGTTTTCTGGGCCAAGGATGTCGGTTAGTGAACTCCATGTCTCGCCAAAAACCTACATTCGTCTGTGAGCTAGGGAAGAATAATCTTTCCATGGATTTCGGTCAAGACTTTCCGGAGCTTAGTAGGTCGGTTCCCCACGAGGCCGACAATTCTCCGCAATCCTGAAAATATCGCCCGGTACTTCAGCGCGATAAGCGACGAGTCTCAACACGTGAGACTCCCCACCATCTGTTCCACTCGCCGGCGGACGTGCCCGTTGCACGAAGCGGGCGGCAGCGTTCCGGGAGCTCGGTAGGGCATCGGCTGCTGTGACGTCAAGCCGCAATGGAAATAAATCCGTTCGAATCGATCGCGTCGAGATACAAATTCCCCAGCGAGAAGCCACACTGAACTGTGCAGCTCTCCCACCTTTCGAGGCCGCATACAACTCTGCGTCAGCACGTCAACGGTCAAGAGTCGAAGTTCGATCGATCAAAGCTCAGCGGTCAAAAAGAGACAGACAGAAAGGCTTAGAGTCTCGCTATCTTTATAGGTGCATGACTGTTGAGATAGGTGCGGGTTTCCACGTTGTCTCTTCTTTCAGGAAACCTGGAATAGTACATATCTCCCACGTCGCTGGAGACAATCATGCGCCACTCCTAATCCCTGAGAAGTCTTCCGTAAATAGAATTCACTCGGGCTATCGCCGAGAGGGGAAGGCGACATCCCGAGTCACCTCCAAATGGGACCAGAGGCAATACCCTGAAGCTACCTGAGCTTTTCTTGGCCCCGACCACTACGTCAAAATGATCCATGACCATGCTCGCAGCCACTGGCGTTCTCAGGACATTGCATGAGAGGGGAGGAGGGGCGGGCGGCTAGATCAGGTCTTTGCACGGGACGAAGTCCAATGTGGCGACTCGCTCCCATACTATAGCAATACGGACGTATCATCCGAGAGAGAGCTACACCCCGCTCATCGGAAACCCCTGTATCTGAAGGATGCTTTTTTCAGCGGCCAAAAGAGAATTGTGACGGGGCAAGCAAAATGACGCAAATAAACTCTTTCCTGCGCTTCAAGCTTCGTACAGCCTCGCGTTTCAAGTCTCCGTCTTCTGACTCCCGCCGTCAGTGGAGGCGCGGATTGACTTCTACATGGAACTTTATAAAGAATATAAGAGTCAAATTTCCAGAAAGTCTGCTTGTCCGACGGAAGTCTTGTGTCTCGCGATGATTTCACGGTTTTCCGGAGTCAGCTCAGGATAGCCGCTACTATCCGAATTCGGCTGTGAGAAAACTCACGAGGAAAATCTCTCCGAGAGGTCTGTGTGCGTTTCTCTTCGAGGAAGGGAGTCCTCGAAGACGAATAATAATCGGTCTTCCTCCAGGGCTTATCAACCCAAGTTAACAGCTGGCTCGCGATGCCTCTATGGGATATTCAGTGGGAGGAATTCCTATCCGTAATGGGCAGCTTCATTAGCACAGCAGAAACAGGATTGAAGATCGCACGTGCGTCCCCCTCCCGACACCAGGCTCGTCTCATGATCTTGGAAGCGGGGAACTGGCACGCTCGGTGATTCCAAATTAATGTTCAAGATTCCTCGATTTCGACCTGTCGCGATCCCGGTGCTTTTGCTCGATGACGTCAATCGCACGAACCCTACGCGGCTGGTGTCCGCCGATCGGAATCTTTCCTCGACGTCAAAAGAGATACTGGAAAACTTCGGGGAGAGAGAGACTGATTCGATTTACCAACGAAGAGCCTCGCTAGGAAAATTTTCACAGTCTAATACCGCAATCGATCGACAATAGCCACGAGGATCGAAAATTTAAGCTCTCAACTCTGAAAGGGGTGGGGGAGGTGGCTCTCGGGAACCTCATGGCGGGTGCGGTTTCTTCGTATGGACTACGCGGTCAATCGTATGGTCATATGGCCTGAAATTGCGTAAGAGGTTCACCGATTCGGAGCGGAGTCTGCGGCCGGCAACAGATTGAATCTGAATCTTTCATTTCTGCCGCTTCCCTCATCGAGCTCCAATCCAAGTTCAGACCCAATATCTGTAGAATGTCACGACGAATTCCCTGGTTGTCCGAAGGATCACCCGCGACATCCCCCCGTGAAATCAAAGACGCGAATACCAGCTCATTTTGCTTCACCGTGCAGGGAATCTATTGGCGGGCAGGGCTCGCTCAGTATTAGACGGAACCGAATCAAGGTGCTCCCCCTGGCGGAGATCGTAGGAATCAGCCGATCGAGCAGCTGATATTGTGCAGAGCGCGTTCCGCGATAGTATTTTACAACGTGGTGATAGGTCTTCTAATGGTGAGCTCAATTTAAGCGATTGGTCCACAGTGTCCTCGCTCTAACGTACTCCTTCTAGTTAGACTCCAGAGGGGTGGAGAGAACTAGAACTTGCGCGCCCTGACAGATGGGCCGGAGCATGTTCGGCAGTCGGCTTGCCAGAGAGCGCTCAGCACGCGCAGTGGTTTCCGAATTTCCCGAGCTGGATGGGGATATAATTAAGGTTTCCGATCATTTCTGTGTACGAGACTCATCGACCAACACGTTTTTTCTGCGAGTTCTGGCTCCGGGCATCAGGGAAAATTCCGACAGCCCATTTGACAGAACCGCATGATTCCTGATAAGGGTGGGAAACCGGTGCGACCTTCGACGAAGGATGCTCATTCCCATCGAACGAATACCAATGGGAGAGAACCGCTGCGTACACCCTGATGTTTGTCCTCAGGCCAGATGAGACGGGAAGTCCTCCTTCGCATTTTTTCTTGAATCAGAGGATCGAGTGAATGTTCTCACCCAAGTGAACATCACGAGCAGATGCTGAAGGATGGGGGCAGGCTCCCTTTTCCTATGGGAAGGGAGGGTTTCCGATCCACGAGGCGAAGATGAAACTGTATCGCGTCACATGATCGAGGTCGATGCTGCATCCTTCGGTTTCATTTTCGAGGTCTTGGAGGTTCCGGTTTCATTGTATCTTTGAACACCCAAATGACCCTCTCGACTTTCGGAGATCAAGGTACTTGATCTCACAATGCAGGGTGGAATCGTTCTCGATCGGTTTCGAGGAATGCTTATGGTCCACCAATTCAAACGTGGAATCAGGCTGAGAGCAGTCTTCCCTGCGAAGCTACATGGAGAGTCATTTTCTGGCCCCTCTGAAGGAGTCACATCATTCCGTCTCTGAATGAACCCAAGACCCACGGAATGCCATGCATTCATACGGGTAAACGTGATCGACGAAGGGGTCATATCCGATTTCCGAAAGCGCCGCTTTAATGTTCGCTGCACGGTTACTGACTGAGAGATTGTAACCGGGATGTCATTCGACACTCAGACGTTTTTTATCCATTTAGCAAGCGATACGCTGAGGTCTTTGCTCCAGACAAGATTCGCCTCCCCCGAGAAACAATCGTCCATTATTCAGATTAACTTATTCCATGATGCAGGGCAGTCTCGCGATCGCGATATCATGGGGTGACTTGGTGTCGATCCCCTGCAAGCGACGCATCGCCTGTACGATCCAGAGTCCAAGAAGACTCACGAAATCATTACTCATCATCAAAGTATGAATGACATTATACGAGCTCCTGATCGCGTACGTTGACTAGCTCTGGCCGAATCATCCTGTTTTCTGGGCGAGTATGATCGACCAATCGAGGGCTGTCCGTTCACTGAATGCTGACTCGACCGAGTTGGTCTTTAAATTATTAAGTCTTGTTGCCACTCTGTCGCTAGAGGGCCCCATCTACTCTCCGGACTAAATTCCGGGTCATGAAACCCGTCGATTGATTCCTCATTGGATCACTCCCGGAAGGTGGAAGTTTCTGAGCGGCGAGTTGACATCGAATAGAGACGTTTTCGAGAAGCCCGTTTTCAAATAGCGACGTCCCGCAGGCGCAGCCTACAACTCGCGCTAAATCGTTTGCACATTGTCCATTACGATTTTTTGAAGCCACGGGTAGTGAGATCGAGGCGTTTAATGGCTACCTGTTCCCCGTCCAATAATTGTTTTGCTTTGATCCGATACATACATATGTGATCCGATGCACATCCTTATCAATTAAGAGACATTTTTATTAACCCATCACAGGTACTCGGTGATAATAAATTTAGCGAAGAACACATAACTCAATCCAATTCGCCAGCTCAGGAATCGAGTTGACATATATACAATCTTGAGCGTGGTATAAGGAGCATCTTGCTTTGCAACGTTTACAATAAAATCAGTAGTTGGGGCCATGGTAGGCCTCGGTCTGACATGGCTTGGCGTGAAAACCGAGAGCCGCAAGTCTCGTATACATATCTCCATGATCCGGGTTCTCGCCGTATTCAGGAGGAGAACATTGAAAAGCGCGTTGCGGCTCGACGCTCGACCGTACTTTTCTGATTTTAGCTCAATTCGTTCGGGCCCATTTCGTCCTTGGCTCCGAGAAAAACTTTTGGCTCTCCCTACCGAATATCTCGACTGGCACTGAACGTACTAGTTCTCCTCCTTTACGGCCTGGTTCGAGAATTAGGACTCATTCGATAGAAGCTTTGATATATTCATTCCTCAGGCAATCTACCCACTCCTCCGCGATATTCGTACTCGAGCCGGTCCGATCCGGGGCGATGATAACTACTTTCTGTCCCTTGATCTCTTCGTCCGGGGACTATCTCGAAAACGTGCATCCATGCATGGGCTCACTTTTGCGGACTGCTCAAAATGATGTTTCACTGGAATTCGTCTTTCCAGATGAAGCCGCTAACCGGCTTCGATTCTTGGAACTCATGGAGGATCGCAATCACTTGCGGATTTGTCCATCTCGTCTGTTCCATGACACTGGCGTCGATGGGGGAAATTTTCGTCGGTAAATGGAGACACCTGCTTTTCTATTCAAGTATCTCGTGGAAACATCCAGGGTAGGACCAAAGCGGAGGCGCAGGGCGTTTCAAGGTATCGATATCTTTCAGGCGTTCTCAACGACTTCAGCTCTGAACGAGAGCTCGCCTCTTGGCCTGTGACGGCCATCATATGTGGCATGCAATTGATCTGTAGGTTCATCGGACTCCTCCGAATCCTTTAGCGTCTAGGGTGACTCCATCGATTCGATATTGTAATGTCTCGGCGAACGATTGCATTTCGGCAACTTTGTTCTCTATGCCTCCCACAGCTCCCGCCTACTCGATCCTGGTCAGGATGGGGGCGGCCCACGTTTGGATCTTGCGGATCTGTACCTTGATGATCGCCGTGACTTTATGGCTGTGCTACTTCGCCAAAAACATTCTTCATTTGACAGGTGAGCCAGCGCGTCGAGCGGCCGATCAATGCCTGCAGCGCGGCGATCGACTTTTATCTGATGGCAGTCGAATACGAGAATTTCTCAGAATTCTCTTCAATGAGTCTTTATTCGTCTTTATTCCAGTACTGCTCGGACTGCATGGAGCGAGTATCGCGGGAATCTACGTCAGTGCGAATGTTCTCATGGCCGGTCATTTCTCGAAAGAGAGGACAGCAGCATCAGGTGCGATCGTCAAGATCTACGTCACTATCAAATTTTTCCACGCAGCGACCGAAAGGGCATCCTTCACAGCGTCCCCGGTCGAGATTGAATTCCCTCATATATCGTAATAGTGACTATCGGGGAGTAACAACCGCCGACCTTTCTGTAGGCACACAGGAAACGATCGCGGGAACGAGCGTTTTCTTCATGCCGGTTCTAATGCAGCATTTCGTCGCATCTTTCCGAACACCGGCGGCTCTGTCGGTGTTGGGCTGCATAGCCTTCTTAGCATTCCTATTAGCCCTAAGCATTTCGCCAATCGACACCGACGAGGAAGTTGATTCGGCCAAAGAATCAGCCAAAGATCCCGAAGAAGCCATCGAGTTCGGTCCTGTGAGTGGTCCTTCGCGCCAAGTCGAACCACCCGCGGACTTATGTCGGGGTCCCCGCTCATACTATCTGCCTCATTCTTCGCCGGAAATAGCAGAGTTTCAAGCTCAACTCATCAGTATTCCATTTTTTCCCCGCAGACGAATCGATCCGACAGGACGGAGCAGCCTCTCTGGAGAATTCTCACGAGTTTCAAGTTCATTCTCAACTTCTTCTCGTTTTGGGTCGTTTTCGACTGCTACTCGAGTTTCTTACAACTTAATGGCGACTACAGCAGGGACGTAGGGGTCCCTGATGCAGGCGTCTGGCTCGTTCCGATTTTCGGCGTAGGCGACATGGTTTTCAAGCTCGCTGCGGGATTCTTGTCGGATGCCAAGCTCACGTCACCTTCGATTCTCCTTGTCTTGGGTGAGGAGGGTTCCTGATAGTAAACGCTTAATATTTCATCTACGCTGAGGCGCTCGAATTCCGATTCCTGATGTCATTGGGAGAGGAACCGCTCCTGCGGAGAAAACCTGGCGGCGGATATCCTCGGGAGAACCAAGGACGACATCGGCGCATGTTGTAGGCGGCCGGGACTGGTCTCGATGCGAGCACAAGCCTCGTCTCCTAGGAACGAAGCCTCGCAAAACTCACTGTTAAATGAATTTCCATCTGATCTCCACAGGGAGCGTCGCACAATGTGGGGGGTTCCTAGGCTTGAGCTACTCAAACGATTTCAAGACACTCGCGATGAGTTCGTTCGTTCTCGGAGCGGCGAATGGCGCAAGGGTTTTCCTTTTCATCATAGTTCTGATCAATGACTTCGGACTGAAGAACCTCGCGCACACGTTTTCACATGCTAATTTCTGCATGGGGATTTTGACCCTCGTCAAGCCCTCCCTCGTCGGTGAGTCACCTAATCCGGTACGACCCGTTATAATTATCTGCGAGCTCGATAGATGATATACTTTCATCTGAGAGAACTTTTCTTCTGAATAGGGCTCTTCCGAGATCGCAATCAACAGTACCTCGGCCTGTTCCTCATGATGGCCGTGCTCAACGCACTCGTCGCCTCTTACTGGGTCATACGGACTCTGAGGAGTCGCAAAGGAGGGCCTCCGGCCCTCTGATGTCTCATTAAAATCGTTACGGTACACGTACTCGACTAGAGAGTGGTCGCCATTTTTAAATTAAAAATTACCTATTTTTCCATAAATATCTGTTGTTATCATTTGCTAGCAAAGGGAGCTCACATGGAAGATCTAGGATATTTCCCGAGATCACAATCCCGTCGATCCGGATGGGCCGAACGATTTGATTCTACGATCGCCCCTATACTTTCTTCGATCGATTGGATCAGTCTCCCGCCTCTCGCCTTGTCTACCCTAGTGAAAGATGAGGAAGAAGGAAAAGTCGGGTCTCCTAGGTGTCATCGATTTTTACTGCATCCGAAAATAGAAAATGCCGACAGCCGAAGTAAGTTAGAGATCTCTTTTTCTGAGGATCGGCATGGACCGACCTTCGCCGTATGTACAAGAAGAAGGGGTTCGGAGAGAAACATTCTCGTGATTACGCAACCGATTCAACTTTTCTATAACACCCATTAATCCATTCGTTCTGCTCGGCCTACAGCGATCGTGAACGACGTAGCCTCAACCAAACACCATTCAAAAGCCGTTAGTAGAATAGTCATTGAACGTATAAATCCTGTCACAAAGCCTGGTTGAACAGAACCAAACGATCGAATATGTGTACAATACATTTTCCTATTGGCTTCCCGCTGAGACCCTCTACACTCTCCATACACTGATATTTACAAATGTTTTGGGCCATCGTCTGCAGCTTTCAATCGACAAAGATCAGATTCTCCTGAATCCGACAAGAAAAACATTTCATGTGACGTGAGAAACGGTACTTTCTCCCACTGAACTCCCCAAGTTCTGGTCTGATGGATGACCACGGTCATTCCGTAGCCTCGACCCAATCTTCAGGAGGCTCGGAACGGCACTCTATCTCTTATCTTTGTTTCAGAAAATAAACATCCCTTTAAACTATCTCAAAGTAGAACGTATGACGCGTCATGTATCCTTTCGTTGTGGGACTGTGTACAAGTTGTAAGGTGTGGAGCGAGCGTCGAATTCCTTAACTGGTCTCGAGAACCTTGAGAATGCGCTCGATATTCTGCGGTGCCGAGTTCCCCAGCACACCCTGCGAAAAAAGTTCATCTTGTCAGCCTGCCCATTAACGGAACAATCAATCATTCTACAATCTTTTCGACAATCTGTCATCCTTGCCGGGGCGGCTGATTCTACCGCGATGTCAAGACGGAGAGAACTTACAGTGAGGTCTATAAAATCATGGAACTTCTTCAGAGCTTGCATGAACGACTGCAAATTTCCACCATTGAGCTCTTTGAGGGCCGCTGTTCTTTCGGCGTTCCCCTGGATCACACAACCCAACATGAGAGCGAGGTATGCGGAAACAATGCTGTGCTCCATGTGTTTTCCGGCCTGGAAGAAGAACGGTACGACTTATTTTGATTCTGCGTTCTCCGAAAGACCCGTCCCATAGGCAGTCGAGCCACTCCGAATCTGTGCACGTCGATGGTCAGATTGGAAAATCCCTCCCATTGCGATATATGTAGAGTCTTACTTTTTGAATGGCTTTGCGGATAGTCTCCTCCAAATCATCGGCGGCATCTCTCTCTTTATCGTTCACATCTTTCGCCGTGCGATCTTCGAGACGTTTCATTTCTTGCTGCTTGACTTTCTCCTCCTGGTTGTCCAAAATCTCATTGGTCTGGTTTTCCGAAGCTGCTGCCGCCACTTGTTTCTCTTTGAAAAGCTGTAATAAGAGCGAGAATTCCTTTATGCTGACCTCGGAAACGAATCGGAGATTTCTTCGAGTTCACTCCGGACTCAAAAAACGGGTTGTACTCACATCAACCAATGCAGAGAACGCATTGTGCTTCGTGGTGAGTTCGGTCTCGCTAGAGACTCGAACTTTCGACTTCAACAACCATTCCCGCAGTTTCGGGGAATGTTCACTAATGTTTATAGTCAGACCCAGCGCTAAAAGTTGTACATCGAAACGTATACCCGCATCCAGACTGTACGGTATGTGAAGCATACACTCTAGTAGCTGCCGCATCGTCTGGTCCCTGGAGCCCCAATTATCGCTGGACTCATCTGCAATTTCGACGGAAGCGTCAGACCCCAGCTGTTCCTCTCAATCTCTCGGAACCGATGTATCGACCTGGTCGACGATTTAGAATTTTTATTTTGATCCATAATTGTCGGCGTGGCGAACTTACCGTTTTCATGAGTTACGTTGAGCATGACTTTCAGAAGTGAAAGCATAACGGAAAGAAAGACTGGTCCGGGTCCCTCAGCTCTCTGAAGTGCCACCGTAATCGATTGTCCCTCAGGCGCGGATTCGTCGCTCACGTTGAGTACTTTGTGGTACTCGATGTTTTCAAAACAAAGATTCATCAAATCGGCGCAGAAGTTCATAACGACGCCATTGCGGAACTTTATAAGGTACTCTTGGTTGGCCGAGTTTCCGAAAGTAACGTTCTCGAGGACCCGCAGAACGCGATCGATCTTCTTTAGCTTTTCCAGCTGTTGGCCGGATGGTTCGAATATCACACCCCAATGAGGCACGTCTAGGGAATTCATCACTTGCGAGACAAGGTTCGCCAGATGCGTCAAACCTCCTTGGATTCTGAGCTCCTCCTTGAACCATTCTCCGGCGCGTCGAGACGTCAGACTGAGCAATGTCTCGAGGGCGAGACTGCTGGAAGTGATGTGGTTCATGTCCAGATGCTTGGCGAAACCCTTCCTGCGGATCTGTTCACAGAGTTGGAAAACCTTCTCCTTGTGGTTGCCCTCGCCAGCGTCGTCATTAATTTCGAAGAGTTGAAGTAAAATGGCGAGGGTCGAGGCTTCCAAGTCCATGGTGAGTCTGTCCTGAGACAAGACGAAGAACAGAGCCGACACGCACAAAGCCAGAGACTGTGAATAAAGAGGGGAATTTTTCAGCGGGAACTCTCGCCAGGAGCTCGGGGAAACGCTGCGAGCTCGGGTCCGCTGCACGTCGAACGATAAGAACTCGATTCGTATTTCCAGGAGTACGAGACACTCACCGGGTGTTTCGGGGCGTCTTTGACGGTACCGAAAAACTTTGTCATGACACCGTGAGCGCGGAGATGAACTCGAAACTGTGCCGACATGCATTTGCTGGCAAGGGAACAAACTGAAAGACATCTCGACACCAATGAGTTGGTCTGAGTGACGCTTTCCAGCAAATATTCAACGTCGTCGTTGAACTCCTGGGCTTCGCCGATTTCGTGCACCTCGTAAGCTTTCTTCACATTCCGAACTTTGGCATACGACTTGATCTGAAATGGCAGAATCACAAACTCTCATCGAGCCCGATCCGGCGCTATGGGACGCTCAGTGTATGAATTCGCAATGGAATGAATTCAGAGGCTGCAAATGATTGATGCCGAATTTCGCCACTTTCCAATGGAGTGGGATTCGTTGGCATTCTGACGGAGCTCCGTTTTCGGAGAACCTTGCAATTGTTCCTTACCTCCGGTGGAGCGGGTGCCGCGAACTCATCATCGAAAACAGCTGCGTCGACGTGAGGATTTTCTTTTTTAAGAAAAGGCTCCGCTGGCGGTTTCTCACCGAGGTCCTCCTCGTCGGCGACGCTGTTGTTGAAGAATTTATACCTCGATACCGCATTCGCTTTGGCAGCTGCCGGATCGGTTTTCTTGCTTTTGAAGAACGTCTTACGACCGCCGGGTTTCTCTTCTTTCTTGATCTCGGCCGCTGGCGGCGCCGCAGGTGTGGAAGCAGCGATTTCGTTGACATTGAGATTCTTCAACAAAGGGTTCTCGTACTCGATGTAGGGTGTCTCTGTCCGCGCTTCTTTCACCTTCGCGTCTGCGGAATGAAACGAACTTATCGTAATCGTGATTATTCTGACTGAGGCGTCTTTAGATCGAACGTCGCGGTTTCGCGGCAGGACCATAGCTCCCCCGATGTGACGGAGCCCCTCATCGAGGAGGAGAACACGAACCGTTTTCAACGTTGTTCTCAGATGTTGAGAGGGCAGCGGCGCCCCGTTTACGGCTGTAGGATTTCGTCGGCGCTCTCCTGCTAACAGTCGATGGAGGATCGTCGTCTGCTGAATTTTCAGGTTTTTCGCTTTTCGGAACCGGAGTCTCCTGGACCTCGGCTGGAGCTACGATCGGCGGCTTCGCCACTACCACGGGAGAGCCGGGCGAGTCTGACACGGGCGACGGAGACGACGAGCTCGATTTGTTGGCCGAAGATAAAGGGCTGTGGGATCGAAACGCCGGATGACACATGGGCACCACATAGAACTCCAGATTCGAGTCAATACGTGAGCTCGACCAATACGAACGAGTTCCTGGTCGCGTAGTTTACCTTGGTACGGCCGGTGAAGCCGGTTTGCTCCCGGCGAGAGGGGAGGACTTAACCTGCGCTTGCGGAGCCGAGAACAAGCTATCGAACACAGCGTCATTGTTACGGTTACGACTTTTGAAGAATTTCTTGGGCTTAGCTTGTCGAGGAACTGATGCCGATTGTTCCGTCGAGGCAGGTGATGGCGTGCCTGGAATTCCCAGAGTTCGAATATTTCGGAGGTTCGGGAGCGAGGCCCGGGGTTAATCAAGCGCAACGACACATCCACCGGCAGGGTGAAGAGAAATCTGGTTCGGAGCAACTTACCCGAGTTCGGTTCTTCATCGAAGGAATAAGCGTCGTCCTTGGCCGTTTCGCTGTCCCGGATCGATGTGAATGACGTGACGCCGAAGCGATTCACGCGACCGACAGCTCGCTTCGTCGGGGCCCCCTGACTCGCCAGAGTTCCTCCGCCACCTGCACCGGGAGACGGCGCTTTGTCTTTTTTGCGGAAGTCACGATAGGGTTGACACGACGACATCCCGTCCGCCCTGTACGGAAAATAAGAGATTAAATTCTCGGATCGGATTTATTTTCGAAGGAGGCACAAGCTCTCGGAAACGACGAATCATCGGGTGAGACACTTCTTCACCCACTGGTCTACATAAGCCGAATTCACCGTGAGACTTATAAAAAGCACCGGCGGGAAGACAAGAGCACGATGGCTCGTTCGCTGACTCCCACCGCGAGGAAGAATCTTGGGAGAAGAGCCGGGAAGCTTCCGGCATGAAATTCATTTGCAGACTTCAATTCATATCCACGAAAAGTCGATCGATCACCGTGCGTCGCCCCGCAAATAGCGTGCAAAACGCTCAAAGTATGAATGTAGTCTCTTTGACAAACGGGCCTCGGGGAAAGACGCCCCCGAATAAATCCCGCGAAAAGGAACCGCTTCTCCGCCATAGCGGTCTTCCCCGGCCTTTCCAGACCCACGGGTTCTTCGCCACGGAAAGATCGTCACATCCATATCATGGAACTTGACTGATTCGATCCGAGACAGGTGTCGGTCACGATCAGATCGCGGCCATATCTGATATCGTGCCCGGATCGTTGCCCAAGAATTTGGAATGCAACCACTTTAGAAGGTATAGAGGTGGCAGCCGTAAGGAATCACTAACGGTAGCGGCACACCAAGAGAACGACTAAATTTCGGGAGTTTGACCGTGGAAGTCCGAGAAGAGAGTCAGCGAGGGACTCCTGAGAGGAGATCCACTGCGAAAGATTGCATGAACAGTCGCTGAGAGAACTGTCGAGTTGACAAAGACTGACCGAGCTTTTCTCTTCCCGGATAGCCCCGCTATCGATTGAGCCGAATTCGGAAATCGTAGAGAGCTCACGTCAATTCGATTGGCTCTGACAGCGCCCGTCGTTCCCCGGCGATTCATCATCAGACTAAATTCCAGTGGAGAGTCCTAGTTCCACTCGAAAAGTTTCGCCGCATTCATCCGGGATGTGCGGAAACTTGAGCCGACTGTGAATGATCCGATTGCCCTCCTGGATCGCAGCGAACGCCGACCACTGGTCGAGAACCCCGTTGTAATACCAGGAGGCGCAACTCCAGGGAGCGGACGTGAATGTCAAAAGCACGACACGCAATAGCGAATCACCCATACCGCTAAACATGTGAAACGAATCAAACTACTTGGCTTACTTTGAAGATGTGGACAAACTCCCGCTAGGTTTGGTCTGCGTGAAGTGCTTCGAGTCTCACAAATGATCCATTTTCGATAGCATGACCCGATTGCAGTGTGCTCTGCCCGATGAGATATGCCACCAATTGACGGAAAACACAAACTAACAAATCGAGCGACGGCAAAAAGACTCCGGCAAAAACAAATATGGCGGAGTCGTCGCTCCTAAGGCAGCGGCAGCAGCAGTACCGAGGAGAAGCTCTTTCCGCTGCGGCTCTCGTAGGCCATGCGACTAGCGGGCTTCCGGCTGTCGAGCTCTGTCAGGCGGAGCGAGCTCGGAATTCGGTTTGCTCAAACCTATGCCTGAAGGTTCTTTCCGGGACGCTTTTGCGTTGACTTGAGTTATTGTTCCATCGAACATCTGCTGCTCTACGGGGACACGCGGACAGAGAGAACGCGGGGTAAAATTGTGCAAAAATGAAGGCGATGATGTCGATGATCCTCACTCCGGGCGGTCTCTCCTGTTCTTACAAGCTCCGTCTCTTCATGCTCGTTGGTGATCAAAGAGAGGCTTCGAATAGTTTCGACCGTTCATATCCAGGCCGGATGATGATCGATCGAGCCCTATCTCAAGACACGCCATTTTGGCCATTTTGACCGGCTCGAATGTCTACTGGTCCGACAGCTTCGACCAGCATGTTCGATATGCCATGAAGGCGCCGAGTTCTCTCTCAGTGCTCGGTAAGAGAGTGCCCGATAGCTGAATTTTTGAGCCCGTAGCTCTACGAAGTTTGCGGACTCCCAGCGTGCGGGGAGAGACTCGCGCATGATTTGAAGAGCGCGCCGCCTGAACGCATTGTTGGTTCGCACGTTCGCAACGGCTCAGGCCCCTCCTACCGGCATCGGGATTCTCCGGCGGCGGGAAACCTCTGTTTTCGGGGTTGTGCTCAATTGCGAGAATCGGAGCTTTCGGAGCACCGGGATGTCCAACGGGAGAGCTGGAACTCCCAATTTTCACGGAACTTAAGGCTTCTCGCACCGAAGCTCATTTGCACGGCTCAAACAAGAAGGGGCGGATCGGCCCTCCTTTGACATAAGGCCCATGAGAGACCCTCGCTTCCTTCTCCGCTCAATGGACCGAAGCCCCGTGATACTCGAACACTCGGTCCATGACTTCAGATCCTGAAAAATCGACAGTGAATGGATTCCACAGTCCACAGCCGTCGTAGAAGCATACGATTGGGGTCGAGACCAGTGTGAACCCTCTACCCTGAATAGATCAGAGAGAGCGCTTGTATTCTGAGCTTCTGTTCAGTCAGAGCTTATTGACCTCGAGCTCTGCAGCTCCCATTGATGATTCACTCGCTCAGTATCCCAGTGGATCGGGGGACGATTATATCGCAAAACACTGATCTGCCACACGAAGACTAATTAATAAGGTTAAGGGATGCGTTTCTCGCTCATCGTATGACGCTCGCGGCTCGCGGTCGGGGATCGAGGCCCGAGTTATCCTTGACTTGAGCTCAGTCCGGTTCGCTTTTTTCGTTTCCAGCTCGATAGAAACGACGATAAACCCTTCCGAAGCCGGGACTAACCACGGGGGTAGCCCGCCTCCGGATTCGAGGAGCTCCACCAACCTGCTGCTCTCCAATGGAGGTCTCCCCCTGCTGTCACTCCCGTCTCTGCCCTCAGGCTGAACGATTCCCGACCAGGAGCCACTTGCCGATACTCGGGGGGACTCTTTCCGCGAGAGGCAAGTCTACCGTCTGAAAACGCCGCGAAGACTTTCCCCCAAGCCTGCAGAGACTACTCTCCAACGAGCAAGGGGACTTCTGACGCAGCTTTTCGACAGGTCTGTGCTTAATTGCCCGTATGCACGCTCCGATGGTCCATCTTGAGCGAGTTTTCCGCTCGACCCGACATCAAGAATGGTCCAAATTCCTCTGTCGGACCCGAGTTCTGTCCTCCGTGACGTGTCGCAGTACTTACTCCGAGCTGAACGCGGTCGGTCTTGACCGAGCCATGAGTTGCGTGTCGAGGAACAATCTCCTCGGAGCTCGCTCGCTTCCTTAGGATTGTGAAGCACGTATGACGATTACCTTTTCGGATTAGCGTGGTTGCGCACGTATCCAAGCCATGCCGCACGTCGGTTTCCTAGCTCCGTTTATTCTCGTAATGCACTCGATCGAGCCAGTAGGCATAAAGTCTAAGAGCCGGCCCAGGTCCGACATCCGCGCGTGAGAACAGCTCGCACGCCAGCCGGTAATTAAATACTGGATCTACTCCTCATTTTATCCGCGCTGAGTGAGCTCCGGCAGATACGAATCGCCGATCAACCTCCTCCGCGATTCGCTCGGCATCCTTTCCTTCAATCCTTCGTGAAGGCGTTTCATAGTGATAGTTCCTGATGTGGGTGATATCATAGTCTGCTGCAAGAGATTGAGGTATTATTCTGAAGCTGGAGCATAGGTCCCTTAGGTCTCCCTTTGACCTTCACACTCGCCGCTTCCCGAAGCATGTTCCCGAATCTGTTCCGGTGTCAATCAGCCACCGGAATGCCGTTCGCTCCATCTGGGTCGAATGTCCCCGTATTCGAGCGGATTGAATGGTGGCGTCATCGCGATGAATGGCCGAATCGTCTCTCGCAATCGAAGGAGCCTAGTCCATCAGAGGATTGTCTCTCTGCAGATGTCTGCGTATATTGTATAAGTTTTGATTCTTTAGTGCCTACTTTGATCCTGAAAATTCATCGCTGCTTGGTGAAACGTATCGATGTACACGCACTACCCCGTATCCGGAGAGAGACCCTATCACGGACGAGCGACTTCCGACGCAGTTGGGGCGATTAGTCATCTGAGATTGAAAATCCATTCGCCTCCGGTATGGGAGGGATGGAACATATTCGCGGATGGAAGATCAAAACGGAATCAGGTCAATCGACCAAGCGTACCTTCAGCTAGCTTCAATCGGGATAGTACTCGGAGTCATGCATACTCGGAATGATACACGTAGAGCTGGTCAATACGCCCCAATAACTCCGGGGAATACTCAGGACGAAACCGAGAAGACGATGGGAAAGCTGGAAGAAAAAAGAGTCAAGGGGAACGCTTCGGAAAATTCAGAGGAGTAGCCCCCGGGTATTCTACGGAAGTCATCTGACTGAGACATCGACATGAGTATTCACTTGAGCTAAAGAAAATCCGGGAAATGCTGAGTGGGTGCTCGCCCATATAGAGCAGTGGGTCCCGGGCAGTGGGTCGGTCGACCCGCGGACCCCTCCCCTGTATTCTGAGCATCGGATCCGTGAAGCCTGTGGACCCCCTCCCATGGGATCGTATGGAGAGAATCGCCCTGGATCCCCGGGGGTCCATATGGACCACTTCGGAAACCGCTGAATGTGGAGCGAGAAACTCGAAATTGATCAGCCCTTTGTTCTCATGGCGTCATTGTCGGCGGGCTCGCGATCCGAGCCTCACGACTTTGTCTGCTGACGAAACCATATCGATATTGCGACGAACGTGGAGGACTCTCGTTCCATCTCTCATTGGCGGAGTGGCGAAGGTGTTGCGAACCCGTTCCACGCTCCGCCAACGAGACAATGACAGGGGATTATCAGGAAGCGTCGGCTCTGACAAACGATTCTTCAGGACTCCGGAATTATTCATCTAGACATGCGGTGTCAGTCGCCTCAATTGATATCAAGGAACTCTAATAACACTGCCGGGGTCATAGCCGGAAGACCCTCATGGGAAGGCTCATTTTTGAAAGTTGGCGCCGCTGCTCTTCCTCTCCACTGCAAGCCGTCAGAGACCTGTCTGTCCGGTCGTCCACACAGTGCCGTCGTCGGAACGCTCTCATCGTAAACAGAGAGATCAGCTGTACAGCAATCGTGTGGGTCGCCGATCGCCTAAAAGCCAGTGAGTCGTCGCTGATAGGCAGTCCTATTGAGTAAACGTCGTGAGTGGTCACACGAGCAAGGCAATCCCTGCTCTGACGGAACCATGAGTGGACCCGTCGCGGAGGAGGAGCTCCGTCGCAGGAACGTACCCGCGTCGAGCAACATCGCGTCAAGCGACTCTGAACGTGAAGAATCCGAAGCGGCACCCAAGGTATGAAAACGGTGACGGGTATGAGAACACAATTCTGGCAATAGCACAGAAAGCGAGAAAAATATTCGACACCGACGGCTGGGGATGCCTCGAGCTCATCTCTCTGCCCTCCACTCATCTCGCAGCATCGGTCAGGCCTCGCGGAGCTCCTGGAGCGAGCCTGAGCGAGGCCGGAGGGAGACCGATACGATCGCGGAATTGTTTCTGATACGGTCGCGGGTCCGATTTTAGACACTGATCTGATTCTATTTGACGACGAGGTTAGAATTTTGAGCTTCTCTGAGAACCTGTCAATCGATTGGGAAAAGGCGGAAAAGAGCACGCGTTACGCGGCTGTTGAATCAACAGTTATACAAGTGCGCACTCTTCTCCTTCCCTATTACTTCCACGTTGTCCGGCCAATGGTCGCCAGCATCGTACATGGCGGAAAAATATAGGTACACTCATTTCATGGATCGAATGAAAGAGGAAGAACGAGAGGGGACGCTAGTCTGCGCCATCGGATGTTCGCTCCGCTAATCTTCGAAGCCGCCGGTCTTTCCAGCGTTAGATCGTGAGATTAGTACTTTCTTGCTCTTCTGGCTCTTCTCTTCACTCTTAATCCCCGCGCCGCTCGACACGTAATCGAGGCATGAAACAATCCCAGGCAGCGGTTTGTCTAAACATTTTCGTCGTTGCGGAAGCCGAGTCCATGCAATCAGGTGCGCAGATGAGCTCAACAATCGGCAATGATGGCATTGGAGATGAGAGTAGCGCTTCTGGCTCGATGACGACCGAAGGCCTAAGAGGATGAGCCCGTGCGGATTTTTCCCCGGTCTCCCGGGGCTTGGTTGTACTGGGGCTTCCCGGGGCTTGTTCGTGCAGATGTGTAATGTATGACGGAATTCCGTCTTGCCTTGTACAATTGTATTAGGCAGAAAGCAAATTAGCTCACGGACGCGGATTCGACGGGGTGCAGGGGTTCGACTCCGAGTCCTTATTCAGCATTACATCGAGTCCCGAGGAAGCTTGCTTAATATTCAAGGTTTATCTTTTTCCCTGTAGGACCGGAAATTTCAATTTTCTCCCCATGATCTTCAGTCGGATCGAACCAATGTTCGAACAATAATAGCGATAGTTGAAATCCTTTAGGGGGGCTTCCGCTCGGAGGAGGAACATCTTATGCAGTATTAGAAACGGCACTAGCTGAACCTAGAAATAGATACCTGAATGAGACAGCGCGTCGGCGTTGCTCCGTTGGAAGAACATTTCCCTAAATGGAGATGATCGCTAGGCACCGCGAGGGCGAGGATCCTCGAGGCGAGTCTCGCAGGCCAAGTGCACTTAGCCTCCGGTATCTTGGGCTAAGCCTGATGGTTTTCTGAGGAGAGTGTTCATTGCCTCGCCAAGTCAGTCATCCCCAGGCTCCATATCGATTTGGCGAAAGCGAAATCCCTCACCCGACTCGAGCCACGGACACGCGCCTTTTCATCTCATGGAGTTCCCGAGAACCGAATGACTAAAAGTTTCATACTCGACTATATTCTGTTGCTTACTCTTCCTTATTTGAAGCGATTCGAAGTCCAGCCTTGGACCCGATGACTCTATGATACGAGTTCCCGGAGAATTGCGACGGAATCTTTATCCTCCTGTTTTTCCTTACATCGGAAATCATTTACAGCAGTCCTTCAACAATTACCCGCTAAATTGTGATTTCTACTTTTTAGACTCATCCTATCTTGAAACGTGTCGGCGTAAGTTCAGTTCAATTGAGGTTCGCTTCAGTTCTCTGTCCGCTCGCTTTTTCCCTTCTCTTAATTCATGGCTGCATGGCTTGAGCATCCTATACTCACCATCTGACGCAGGTCTAACCGCAGCACCTAATACCATATAGGCAGATATATGTCACGTAGACGCTGTTTCGACCGCCTCACCGCGGAGAGAATCCCTCCATAAAGTCTCCATCTGGATACTCTTTTCCGTGAAGCAGAACAGTTGTGGAAACGTTGAGCCTCTCTTTGAGGGAAAATATTTTGGGCTTTCTCGCAACTCGCTTTTCGAGCTCTGCCGAAAAAGGAAGCTCGCTCCTGTCGTCTCGAATCCGATTCGTGTAGCTCTCGATTCCGCATTTCGATCGGAACATGTGGACACCTGCGCTTTCGGCTAAAGCGAACATCTGTACGCCCCTCTCGTCATATTTTCTTCGAGTCAGGGGATGCAGCTCTCTCCGCCGTATGATCATGTGGGAGAAAACGGGGGGACATCGAGTATCACCGGAGTTGCGGAACTTGCGTCAGGGTCACCATTCGAGATCAGCCGTACGGATGTTAAGATCCGAAAATTTCCCGTACGCATGTCTCGAACTCTCAGCGAATCGATGGTTTCACGATGAGTGCGCGTAGCGAGTTTCCCACTGTCCGTACTTGACGATCGGGGATATTTGTGACAAGTCTGATCCGGGAATTATCGGTTTTGTGAGCGTCCCCTTCCTTTCGATCGCCGAGGAGGAAAGCTCATGATTTGAGAGCGCTAGTTTCGGAATCGATGGAGACAGGAAATCGCCTGCACAACATCCTGAATGCGCCACAATCTCGTGCGACTGGGCGATAATGAGCAATAAATATCTCGGCTGCTACATGATTGCCATAGCCGGGTTCGGCCTGGAACGCTGCGGGAGGGAAGTCGGGTGTCCGAAGAGCGGTGATTTCGATTCCGGAACGCTAAAACGTGACAGTATCGGCCGAAAATTTAGCACTCGATTACACGCAAGAGGGGAGGCGAACTAAGCCCGAAAGCGCAAACTAAGAACTGCTTCTCAAACAGAGTCCTTGTGGTGTCACGTAACTCGATCCGACGTGGACTGGAGTGAATCAGTTGTGCAACTTTTCACTGACCTTGACCCTCGTTATTTTTTCAGCAGTTTACCGATAGGAAAGACTCGGACTTCTCTGAAGATGAGCGGCTTCCTGAAGAACGCCGAATCGAACAAATCGCGAAGGAGATGCCGCAGGGAACTGATAAAGGTCTCCCCTTGCTGGACGACTGGCTCTCAGGCCTACCGGATAGGTGGGCATTCTTCCTTGCTGATTTATCCGTGACTCCGCGTTGAGAAAAATCGAGGGGGCGGTCGAGGATATTGTCAAAGATCGAAGCCGCAATCAGCCGGAATTTTCCTATTTCTAGATGGAGGAACGGAATTATCCGCTTCATCTCGACGTGGATCATGGTGACCGCCTTCGGGCTCGTCGTATGGTTCGGACCTATCCCGATCATGCTATCGGTGAGTCGAAATTCATTCCCGGTCTCCATCCGCCGTCTAAAGAAAATAATCGGCGGGCCTACCACCGTGAAACCTAGAATTAGTCAGATTCCGATGGGTCGAACAATAATCAGTCGGATGTTCTGCGTTCCCGACAACGTAGTGTCGATTCTTGAGCATATAGAACATGATTCGAACTACAAAGGCGCGTCACTGTGAGAGAACGTCTGTGCGAAGGTTGCCACGCTTGATGGGATCGACGAGAATCGCCGTGTCTGGTTAGAACAAATCCTCGTTCAACTGATGTTATGAGTCAGAGTCGGCCTGACTATAGTCACCTTCGAGATTTGATGTACGCGATTTCCGTCCGAGTTTTCCGCAATCGACTCACCGTTCCTGAGAGTCTCATCTATTCCTAACAGAACTGCGACCGTGAAGATATCCGATAATAATTAAGATGATGAATGATGAATAATGACGATCGAAACTGGGGATCACACTGGGCAGTTTTCTTCCCGGAACAGGGCTAACTCGCTAAACCGATCTTTCCAGATTCTGGCCATACAAGTGAAGTGTTTCCATGAGATCATTTCGATCGGGTACGCGGTCTACCGAGTTCATAACTTGCCGTGGTTCCGCTCGCTCTCATGGTACTTCCTGATAACGTCCAACTACTTCCTCTACGGAGAGAGTCTAGTCGACTACTTTGCCATTTTCGGGAGCAGGGCGAGAAACCTGTCGTTTCTTGTCACTTACCACAGGTATGACGTTCCGCAATTCTCGGAATGATTCTTTTTAGCTCTTTGTGGAGGGTGGTCGGTCGTTGACAGATATCGCAGCGAAACTCCCTGACAGATGGACTCAACTTGACAACTAAGACTACTGAGATCTCCCACGACTCTGGACCTTGAAACCATTTGGGGAGCAATAGTTTCTCCTTGACAGCAGCAAAATATGGGAATTTGGGAATAATGCTAAACAGAATTCCTCACAACTAGGAATGAGTAACTGATTCTTAAAGCTACCGCAGAGCCATGTTCCTAATGAGGTCTCATACGCAGATTCATCTCCTTCTGTCTGTACATCACCGGCTTCGTGTGGTTCGTACTTTCGCTTGTCAAAAAGTACTATATGCGCCAGTTCTCGTTGTTCGCCTGGACTCACGTGACCCTGCTTCTGATCGTCACCCAATCGTATTTGATCGTGCAGAACCTATTCGAAGGCCTGATCTGGTGAGCTTTCCAAGACACATGGGGATTTAAAAATTGAGAGTGCATTGTTCCTCGGGGCGGGGACCCGAAATACGGGCGCGTCTGTGTGTGTTACCGCTTCTAAGCTTCGCCGCGTTTGTGATTAAGGTTCATCGTACCCGTTTCGATGATTATCACGAATGATATCATGGCATACGTGTTTGGATTCTTCTTCGGCAAGACACCCCTCATAAAGCTGAGTCCTAAGAAAACCTGGGAAGGTTTCATCGGCGGAGGGATCTCTACTGTGATTCTCGGCGCGCTCTTGTCTCATGTTTTGTGCAGCTTCCCGTATTTCGTATGTCCGATCGCATACGACAGCGTCTCCGACTCAACGAACATGGATTGCGAGCCATCCTACCTGTTCCAGCTCCAAGAGTACACTTTGCCGGGCTGGATGGGCATTTTCTCGAAGGTGGTGAGTTTTCGCAAGGCGTTGGACTCCTCCAGGTTCCGACCGATCGATCTCCATGTTCACCCTGTACGGCTTGGGGAGATGCTGACGACGCTCGAGATTCACGCTCCGATCTTGTTTGCAGTTCCGTCTGAAGGTAACCACCTACCCGTTCGTAATCCATTCGATCGCGATGTCCCTGTTCAGCTCCATCATCGGACCGTTTGGAGGCTTTTTCGCCAGTGGATTCAAGCGTGCTTTCAAAATCAAGGATTTCGGAGATGTTATTCCCGGTCATGGAGGAATCGTCGATCGCTTCGACTGTCAGATTCTCATGGCCACGTTCGTCAACGTTTACTATGACTCGTTCATCAGGTGGGGATCACGCTCACGTAAAAGACGTGTACGGGTCCGTGAGCCGATTAGAAGAGTGAAGGCATACCGGAAGGAAATCTCATTTTGATCGTCTTCGTTTCCAGAGCCCCGGATCCGAAGAAACTTTTAGCTCAAATCATGCTCCTGAAGCCCGAGTTCCAACAAAAACTCTTCAACTCACTCAGAGAAACTCTCCTCGAAAAGGGATCTCTATCCGAGGCGACCGTGGATCTACCGAACACCGAAAGCCAATAGACGAACACCCTAAGAGCGACCAGATCGCCTGTTCTTAGATCGGTCGATAGGAATGCTCTGATCACGAATCGATAGACCGCCTCTGCGTGGATTGTGGGCAGGGAGACCACGAAGATCACTGTCGAGGAGATGTGACAAAGCGAATTATTGTTCCCGCTGGTTATGGCAGCAGATGTTACGGCTACTCTACAATACAACCGTCTGTTTCTCCTTTATTTCTCAACGATTTTAGATCGAGATCTCAGCTCATACCTCATTGGAAGGAGGCAAAGGCGTTACCGAGTATTCATCCGTCGAGCGTCGACGAAGAAGATGAAACTGATGCGTTTAATGGTTTTTAGGCAAATGTAGGTAGGAGCTCCCCATTCCAATTCACAGATTCGGAATCCGTGTGCAATTACCAGAGTCATTATAAGGAGCTGATACAACTCGATGTCGATCAATCATGTGAAGCCGATGAGGAGGATCGAACCTCAGATACCTTAACAATGTCGAACCCTAAATCTTTCGCGTGGGAGGACAAAAACCACGTCAAGTGGTTAGGAACTTTTTTCCCAAGGTGCCACGAAGCGACTCGGTGGCTGAAGTGGTGCCGATGACATTATTATGATTGTTGTCGTCGAATAGATTCCTGTATTTAAGCTGCAATATAGCCAAGTCGACTAGGATGCCTATTGAGGTAGACAGTGTTTTTTGATTTTGTTTCTATGTATCCTTCAAGTTGTGATGTGGCCATGGTCAGATGCTCTGACCGACGCTTCTTTTAATTACTCTGCGCCCACCCATTTATTGAATGTAGTACGAGAGAAGCCCTCGCCTTCCGAGTGGATGGCCCAAACCGAGTTTATTGTTTGTAAATACGTACCTAAATGTCCTTCTAAACCGAATAAAGATGATGATCCACCGGGTGTCACTGAAAATGAGGAAGCCCGAGTCGTATTCTGATCCAATTCGAATCTGTCGCTTCCGGAGAGGCTTTGCCGCGCCGGGAGTCTTGCGTCATGAGCCGTGAATCGCGACGCGACCATGCCCTGGAAGGCTCTGGAGTTTTCGAATGGTCGATTCAGGAGTTCAAAACATGAGCGCTCAAGAAGACTCCGTATACATCCATCATTTATTCAGTGCTCGACGATTATTCTTTCTTACTTTATTTATACCATTCTATTATGATTCATGATTGCTAATCAATTCGCTCGTTACAAAGTATCCTCCTCGAACTCAAGAAGCTGGCTCAACACCAACCGACAAGATATCCATCACGGAAAACTGGGCTTGTAACACTTCATTCCCAACTCGAAGGACAAAACCGGAGTTCGGAGCCGGCGAATCTGCGATTCTCACTCAAAAATCGTGAATTAGGACTGACTGAGCGGGGCAATGATTATCCCTGCATCGGCGGCTGGTCCTAGGAAAGGAACCGTACGTTCGCGAAAAGTCGGGCTGAAAAATCGACTCCCCATTCCATGATAGTCTTACCCTAGTGGGAGAAAGGGACCGTCCTATAAGTTACAGCCGCAATTAATTTCTCAGGGGAATGGGTCTCGCCTTGAGGAAACCCCAAGAAAGCTTGTTGACATTGCACGTGGAGTCACCGAACCCTCTCCTCCAGGAGGATTCAAATCCTGATGGGGCCAGAGGTGAGTGTCCGCGAGACGTCTGAGACGCGCACTTTGAGAGATACACTTTGTGGGGGAGGTTGTGCGGGCGATAAATGAATCTCCTTATCATTGTACGATTAACCTTCACAGTGGCCACTAGATGCCGTCTTGATTGAATCGCAAACATCTCAACTCTCTGCGGTCTTCTTCCAGGGGCGAAGTTCTGTCCACCGAGATCCTCGTCCCCAACACTCCGGTGAGCCTACGATGCTGCTCTGTCTTCTTCTCTTCTGTTGGAATCGTCCCGTTTGCGATCCTCGCGGTTACTCGACCCCTTGATGATGTCCTCGACAACTCGATGATTGAAAAATTCTTTGTAGTTTGCGAGAGCGAGTGCGGCAGCTTGGTATTGAGCATCCCTGAAATTCATACTTTGCATGAGAATACGCTCGAATCAGGGGGAAGCGCTTCGATTCCTTCCCCTTCAGAGGCGATGAACCTCTCGCGATCGCTTACTTGATACTGTGTCCGGAAGAAGTCGCCATCCGCTTTCCTCTGAAGTAGACTGCAACGATGTACCGTCGCGTGTTGGTGGGCCCGCTCGAGTCTATCACTTTGTACAGCGGAATTTCTGGCTGTCCGTTACTCATGTGCCTCAGTGTCAGACAGCACTGTTGGAGCTTAGACTTCGGATCGTTCCAGTCTTGATTGCGGATGAATTGCTCAAGGCGAGGGAAGAACACAACCTGACAAAATCGACGGCAGTACTCCAAGCCTTTGTCTACGTAGAGCGCTCCCAAGAAGGCTTCAAGGATATCGGCGCGATCTTTCATTTTCAGACCGCTCGCCGACGAAGGATATAGGGAGCACTCCAACATTCCTGAAATTGAGCGGCAATCGATGAGGAAACCGTTCCCCATTGTCCGTCCCCAAAGTAACCGTGGGGAATAAGTATCCCCCGCTCCCACAAGCTCAGATCTAGCTTCTTACCGAGATCGTCGTGTACCACCGATTGAGTACGATTGTTGACGATGGAGCTGCGCAACAGCGACAGATGACCCTCATGATGTTCAGGGAAAAATTTGTAGAGATATTCCGACGAAACAAGTTGGAGGACCGTGTCTCCCAAGAACTCCAGTCGTTGATTTGAGCCTCTGCAAAATCCTCAAGCGTCAGTATCAAGCTATAGTTTGAGGAAATCGACTCCTCCGGGACACGTTCAGGGCTCACGCTGCGGGACGCGCTTCTCATGTTCATGTGAAATGGTTATGAAATGGTACTTACAGTGTCAAATTGTTGAATCCGACGGAACGGTGGGTGAAGGCTCGGGCGAGCAGACGGATATGGGTGAACTCGACTCCGATTTTTTTCTCGAAAACGGTCATTTTCTGCAATATCGGATAGTGCTCGATCCAGTGACGGTCGCCGTCCGGCTCCTGGAGCTGGAGGGGATGTCGACTGTAGTTCCTCCACCTGACCAGGAGTTTGGGGTCGTGGCCGAAGAGAGTTTCCCCGAAGACGCGATCGACTTCATTGATGCCGTGGTCGAGGAAAATTGCGCCCATCAATGCTTCGAAGGAGTTTGCCATCGCGTGCTTCAGCTCCAAATCGTGGCAAAGGTCGGAACCGTGGGCGTAGAGCATGAACTCATCGAGTTGTAGTTTCTGAAGCATTAACGAAATAGGGAGTCAAGATGCAGGTTTTCCTCAGACGAGTGGGATTCCAGCCTCTCTCCGACGAGAGAGGAACCCCGGATCGCGCGACATGGGTGTGTTTTCCACGAACCTTGGCGAGGATGGCCAGATGCTGGTTCTGCACAAGCGCCGCTCTGTACGTCGCCAGCCCCCCTTCTTCGACCTCGGGGAACATGTGGAACAGATGTATCGACGATAGGAACTCGATAACGGCATCGCCCAGGAACTCGAGACGTTCGTAATGGTGCATTGTCGATGCGGTTTCGATGTCCTTCGCCAAACGAGACATGATGGACAAGAGCATCTTGATCCCTGAATAGCATATCCTTTAGGTCGTCATTCCTCCTCGAGAAACTCTATTCGCAAGATATTTCGAGCCTTGTGAGAGCAGATTGAAATTACAGCTCTTTCGATAGCTCTCCTCTGGCTCATCAGTTTAGGCTAGGTACAGGTGATCGCGCAGCGATCCCGGTCTCCGAATAACTTTTTTCGCGGCGATCATTGCCGCGTTGAGAGAGGGGACCGGTGCGAGGTGGGCGCCACTGCAATCGCTTGAATATCGACTGGCACATACAACCTCAATTGAGGACCCTGATTCCCCGACGAGAACCTTCCGAATCAAATTATCCGGCGAATAGTATCCACCAGCCTCGGATGGCTGCCCCCACACTCACATACGACCTCCCTTCCCCAACTTTCGTTTTCGATCCGATAGTCTCACCAGAGGAAATTGAGCCGCTCGATATGAGTCGGTGCGAGTGGTTGTAAGTACGGCGAAATTATCAAGCTAAGAAGGCGAAACTAACTCGATAAGAAGCTCTACGGGAGGTCACTCAAAACTCTCGAAAAATAGAGGTCATAGAGCAATTATTGGTGAGAAATCCGAGGCCCACTGATGTAGACCGAGGCCCGCCGAGCAGCAGATTTGGCGGAGAAAGCAATCTCACATTGGCTGAATTTCCACGGGGCGTGAGGAGACAAAGTCCCGAGACCGCCGGAATTCGGCCTCGCAGGATCGTACTCCCCAAGGATCCCGATGCCAGACTTCTGATGCCAATGAAACGAAACAGAGCCTGGTATCGGGTCCAGAGAGGAATATTGGAGTGGTATCAGTAGTTGTTGTAGGCAGTCATGACAGACAAGATTGCAACCATCCTGGTCATCGTCAAAGTTATCCTACTGCAGATTCCTGACGACTGGAAGTCACTATGCGACCAAATATGAGTGGACTGGTGCTCGCATTGTACAGTCCTCCCCAACTTTAGTCCATAATGTTGGAAACTCGGAGCGACAGGTAGATTTTGTGGAGTCCAGTCAACGTGCCCATGCGTGCAGGTCGTTTGGTCGGTCACTTCATGGATCAGTCAGCACCAAGCGACGGTTTAGACACGCTTAGCCCTCGAAATCCGGAGTTTACGTCAAACAACAGCAAGAATGACGGCTGCTCCGCGAGCGCCCTTAACGGGGTATATTGATCTTACCTCGTTTCCTCGAGTATAAATACAAGACTCTCCGGTCCCCATACTTCGGTTGACGCATTCCGCAGTTGCTCATGGCGTTTCGCGCGTGATCTGGATTCGTCCCGAAGTTCTCCCTGTACGACGGATGCGTGAGCGCCAGCTGCGAATGAGGAAATATATCTGTCAGGAAAAAATTTGAGCCCTGCCGACGCAGGAGAAGGAGTCCCGAAACTCCGGAATCCTCACCTGTAACAGAAGCCGGTCGTTGAACTTGAGCTTGAGATTTTTCTCCAATTCGTGGAGGGACCGATGGAATCGTAGATGCCCAATCAGCACCGGAATGATGAGGGCGTGCTGAACTACGTCTGATCGGATTCCTGTCCGGAGGAATCCAGCGGAACTCGCGACGACGGTCACGTCCCGTTTCAGATCTTTGGCTTGTTTCAGTTCCATGACAGCTTTCTCTTTTTTGGCAAGCTTTGCCTTGTCTCGATAATCGACCCTCGGTTTCGTGGCGAGATACTTCTTGAATTTCGTCAAATCTTTAAACGCTTTCTGATACTGCGGGTTCCCGGCGTAGCTGAGTTGAGCGGGACGCATGCCGAAGTGGATGATCTCCGGGAACTCGGTGGCTTTTTCGAGCGAGTTCTCCCGGTCTAGCTGATCGACTCTCATTGCACAGGGTTTCATTCCGGGTTTCACAACAATTTGAGCTTTGACATTTGTTTCGACATAGTCGATGTAGTCATTGTCGGAGAACCTCACGAGACGCGGAATTGCTTCCGCCGGGACTAGGGGCTTGCTATTCCTCAGGAGGTGATGGATTACGTAGTTGAGCGAGAGAAGTTCCTTGCCCTTCTCAACCAGCGGCCGAACGAATCTCGGCATCAAGTGGAATTGGGGGCAACCCCCATCTTGGTCGTTGAGCTTCCAATTCACATCGACGAGCTCGAGTATTTCTTTGAATAGATATTCTGTGAGCAGATCGAGCCCTCCCACAGTGAAGTTATCCGGGCACTCTTCGGGAATGTAGGCGATCAAATACTCTATGTTATAACGGATTATCCGGCAAGAGGGCAAATTCTCGGGGAGCTTATAATGCGAGAACAGTGAGAATCCCTCGAAAATATACTCTTGCTTATCGTGCTTGATCACAGTCGGGAATTTCTTCAGCACAAAGTTCGTCTTAGGACTGATAAAAATGCGATAATGGAATAATTTATCCGCATTGTTCAGGTTCGGGTCACAAGCCGGGTTCGGCGCCGTTTCTCCTGGGAAACAGTTGTGACGGATACCCGACCGGCGAGATTTTATACTGCAGCGGCACAATGGTCCGTCGTTCATCTGGAAGATGTGGAGGATCGAATTAGCTCGCAGCGAATTCGCTGGGGGCGTACATAAGGGTTAACGTTGCTCGCTCGCTCCATCCCTCACCTCTCCGGAGTCATTGAACCAGAGTTCTTCGTGTAAACGATACGGATGCTGTTTCTTGATTTCGAGCTCAGTCAAATTCTCTTCGTCATCTGAGCTGCACCAATCGCTCTCGGAGCTACTATCGCTGTCTTCACTCGTTAGGACCAAGACCGGTTTCGTGAACTTCTGGTCGTGCCTATGATGCATCACTTTCGGTTTCTTTTTGAAGTGCATACAGATGTGGGGCTTGCGTTTCGGTCTTTCGTAAGGTTTCTGGGTGGCTTTGGCTCTCTCGTTCCTTTTCAGTAGTGTTTCGCCGAACTCCTCCAGCATCTTGTTGAAACGCTCAGTACCGCAGCACATTTCCTGTGGAAGAGGCGAGCGATGAGAGCCTCGCGGCGAAAAAAAATTGGCTGTCAATATGATCAATGGAAGCCACCTCCATCGAGTCCTGGGCTTATGTGTTCTATTCCCTAAACGATAAGACATACTCTGTTTCATGTACGTTCGTATGAATATCCATGCGAATTCCTTGAACGTAACCCGAAAGTTTTGGATTCTACTCACACCCTGACGTTTGAAGTAAACTTCTGCGGCCAAACACCGCGTGTAATTGGCGATTTCCATCCGATAATCGTCCTCTGAGAGTTCCGGAACTTTCTCGCTCTCGTCTTCGGAAGAATAATTGTCCGACGAGAAACGAAGATCGTCCTCAGTCTTGTTCGAGGCGGACTTTTTGCTGCGACTGTTTTCTTCTCTGGCATCTCTCCTCGAGCGACCTTCGGCGGCTCTGTTCGGGCTCTTCCGGGACTCTTTCGATCGATTATCCCTCGCTCTATACGCAGCAGGCGGCGAAGAACTCCTGCGTCGCCTGCTGCGGTCGCGACTCCGACTGCGACTCCTACTCCTAGCTCTTTTCACGTACTGTTTACTCTTCGGAGGCGGTGTCCTCGAACGTCGGCGTCGCCGATTCCTATCCTCATCCAGTCTCCTGAAACATCATGATTCTTTGAGCTCGGATATATTCGATATAGTATTCTGTGATCGGTCAACGGCTGGAACTCTCCGGACGCAGCGCATACTTGTAATCCTCGTATTTGTTGTTGGTAGACCTATAGCGATCGTCAGCATCACGCTTCGGGGTGACCTCTGGTTGAGATCGGGGAGTCGGCAGGTTGGCAGACGCTGCTGGATAATGAATCTGATTGTTTTGGAGGTTCTGAGCCGCGTGACTATTGTATCGCGGTGTCTGACAGGCGGGTCCAGCAGCGGTGTGACCGCCCGCTACGTTCGCAGCTTGCTGTGCAAGCTGGGGCCATTGCAGGAGTGCGTTCGGTACAGGGGCTAGAAAGGGCGATGCTCTCAGAAAGCTTTCCCCTTTACGACGGTCCTTCTCGTTCGGAAGCTTCTCTTGATTTAAATGCTATAATGCCGGAGCCATTTTGAACTCACGGAGAGGTGTTTGAAGTGGCAGCATGTTGTTCATTAGGTTCATGGCACCTTGGTAGTAGGCTTGCTGGAGAATGCTCTCGTAGCCGGGAATTTGCACCTCTGGCGGCAAAACCATGGGAGGGACCTGCGGCAGCATCGGGAAAGGCGTCCCTGGAGACGGTATAGCCAGGGGATTAACGACCACAGAGGGATGAGCTCCATAGAAGGGAGCGTTCCCATTTTGAGAGCCGTTGTTATACATCTGGAACGAATTGTTGTTTGGGATAGGTTCTAGCATCTGGGAGAATGTTGAATTCCGTTTCTGGATCTCCGCGCGTACGTTCATTCGGGGGATCCCGAGAGATTAATCCCAAGAAAACTCTCATCGAGACTATGGTTCCGGAGAACAGAGCCATGCCGGGACTGAGCTTTTTCTCTGAGGAGAGGGATTTTCTCGACGCTCAGGGCTCGGGAAACTAGACGTCCCATCTCTACCGGACTGTGGCCGCCAGCGAGCTCGCTTCCGCTCCGATCTTTCAATATCGGAGCAGGGCTCCAAGTAGAGCCTAATCGGAACCTCACGACCGGCCCTTAAAGCAGAGGTATCAATGGCTCCGCGTCGTAAGGAGATTTCGATCCCGTCGACGCTACGACAGCTTCACGCACAGGGGGAGGGACATCAATCGAACTAGGGAGTGCATGCTCCGGGGATTTCTCTTTCAACCTTACCTCGAATAAATTTATCCAATCGAGAATTCGATGGGCTCTGAGCGGGCGCAGTTCTGGGACCCCTCATGCGAACGAAGAATCCATAACGTTCCCGGGAAATCGCCGAATTTCAGCGAATTGTGGGCGGCGATCTTGAATCCAGCGACCAGTGAGCGCTCTGACCACGGAGTGCTCACAGTGCTCATATAATAGGAAAACAAACGTCGCCACCAGAGAGAGAGTGAGCTGCCCGCCAAAATTCGAATCAGGAAGTCCTACGGAAGAGGCATCATTGAGTTCTCGTCTTCTCAAGAGCCATGATACCTACCTCCAATGCCGAGAAGAAGAACGAGCTGAGTACCCTTCGTCGTTGAGGACCTCGCTCATTATCGCTGAGAGCACACAAATCTACAAGGTCTCTCTCCCTCAATCATCAATCATTACATCCGGGACATGTGGAGGACACCGGGGCATAGGATTTGGAGCCTAATGTTTCTTCAATATTGTAATGGAGCCGATATTCTGCGCCCGGGAATTGGGAGGGCATTGACATTCGACAACATGAGGATCACTCGATTCGGATGATTCGGAGGAAAACTCGAGGCTGTTTTGCCCCGGGAACCTCGGTGTGGGAAGGCTGCTCTGGGCCCGGAAGCCATCTCGAAAACGGTAGACAGCTCGCTGGAGAAAGCCCTTATGCTTTTCGCATTGTCTGGGAGCTCATGACGCGCGGCGTGTCATGGCACGCGCCCTCTCGTGCTGCGTCAGACATGTGTAGACGCGGTTTCACCTTACGTCGGCATCTGAACGAAGGAGTATGGACCGATCAAGCCAAATATCCAATCAGCATGAGATCGACGAGGAGAAATAGGATCTCTCTCTTTCAATCCCGGGGGAGCGGGAGTACGAGAGGCGGAGCCACCGTACGAGGCATGATCGATTCGAAGGTTGAAATATCAAGGACGGAATACAGGAAGCGAACTCATTTTCCAGGAGGCAATCGGTTCTTAGCCGCCGAACCCCATGGATCCTAGCAGAACGTGTAGCCACGGCCGCCCTCCTTGTCGACGTAGGCAAGGAAGAAAGGAAAAAGCGACCTAAAGACATAGAGCCAAGAATGCTCCAATTTTCGAAATGTTCAGCGGTCTCCGGCTGCCATGTATGCACCAGAGTTATGCGGAAACCAGATGCAGTAGAACCTCCTTATTACGGACCCGGATATAATGGACTTTTCTGGCGGTCCCGACCAAGTCCCTATAGTTTACCATGTTGAGAGAGCCGGATAGAGCAAACTCGGATATAACGGACTTCCGGTTACAGCGGACCTTTCCCGGAGTCCGCATCCCATAGTGCTCCGTATACTTAGTACGGCTACAACGGACCGATCCTCCGGTATTCGAGTGTGACAGCCGTTGCAGTCTTTCAGTGCTCGAATTGTTCCCATCATCAGAAGTGCACATGATTCGCGAGTGCACGGTTCGGCTGGCTCATAATTACAAGCGGAACGCGGAACTGCTCACAAACTTAGAGCAGTTGCTTATCGAACCTGCCGAGTCGACTTGGATGAGTTCTCAGGATGTCCGATGAAGTGAAACGGAAAGCGCTCAGCATCGATTCGGAAATTACAGTCCTCGATGAGACGATGCAACGATACTTTTCGACATTGAGAAGTTAATCGAGTATCGAAGCAATCACACCCGACAAGCGAGTATTCGCGCTTTCTTCAACAATAAAGAGTGAGACCATCTGTACACTTCGTGGGGCGCTTTCTCGTATTAGAGTCCACGAAACTTACCACGTCCATCATCGGCGGAGAGCGATGATCAAGCCTATTGAGAACTCTGAGAGTGCTCATAGGCTACCCAAGATCCTTGGCCGGATATAAGGGACTCCGGTTACAACACACTTTCGGGTGGTCCCTTGGAGTCCGTTATAACGAGGTTCTACTGTATGATGAAGTTCCTTTCGACGAACTAGCTGAATGCGCTGAATTTCGATGGAATTATGAATTCGAAAGGACATTAGAATCGCCCCGAGAATTGGGCTGCAGGCGCCCAGATACATGCCTAGCAGTATCGTACCTTAATTCCACCAATCTTCTGGATTCTTGAGTCTCTTTCTCCAATTTCTGCAGAGCTCTAATCGATTCATCCCCGAGAAACCCAGAATCACCCGCTCTAGAGGAACCTGAGAATCTTCCCCGAGAGAGAGGAGCAGCGGAGGGTTTTTTCGTACTCACTGAGAAACTGACTGCGATTCTTGAAATGGAGAGCTTCACGCCGTGGGGGTTGAAGGCTCCGGTCCTTACAGTCGATCCGTATGAAGAGATCTCCAATCCGTTGCTAGGTCTATGTTCGACTAGGAGGGCCAGCCGAACACATTCATCAGGCGCAAGACTGGGGCTTATCTACGGGTCCGAAGCGTACTTCTGTCATCCATTCTCGGGGATCCGCTTCAAACGTGCGCCCGAGATCCCATCTCACGGGCAAATGAACCTGCTCATGATATTACGGCTCGGTCCTCGGCGATCTGACGTCGGCGTCGCTCTCAGGGGTGGCCATTGAGACGCAGCGACTGAGGTCAGGAATGAATCAAACGCCGAGACGCGTGGGGATAGCTACTGATCGGAACCTCATCCCACAGCATTCAAGCTGCCAATCAGATGGGGTCTTCGCCGAAAACCGCTGTATCCCTCGCGTTGGCGACCTCTGCGCCTTGAGTAGCGTCGCGTCGCCTACTCCCACCTAACTTGGCAGGCTTTACGGGAGTTGATGCCTAAGCCGAGGATAAGGTCGGCCTGAACTCAGACCGGTGTCCAACTCAGAGCGTCGGGATCGTCGAGCGTCCCGAATCCTCAGGGGTGAGTACGAGCCTGTTGTGAACCAGGAGATGACCACCATGTGATCCGCGCTCCGCATCGACGAGTCCGACAACGATAATGTGGACGTGGGTCGTTCGGACGTTGAGCAGCAGTGAATAGCATGTTTTCTATGTGGCATCCGGGTCCCGTTTCGCATTGCTTTGTGGAGTGCTGTGCAGTGTTGACTGAAATGCACTGCGTCTATCTGTTCGCCCGTTTGTCCGTCCGCTCGTTCGTCCATCTGTCCATCCGACCGTTCCTCCGACCGGCCAGCCGTTCGTCGCTCGCTCGCACCTTCGTTAGTTCGTTCGCTGGCGCG